TGGTTGTCAAGCGAGAAGAGAGGGAAGAAAGAGGAAGAGCGGAGCAACAGAGTTGAGGACTCGAGTGAACTTGTAAAAGAGAAACGAATGACAAAGAATGTAACAGAATTCATGTACAGTGAGAACGGTAAATTTTGTCATTTTGAGAAAATTGAATATTTGTAACCAAAAAATTAACGGGGGCTTTTTTCTGCTTTCCATCACTTTCAATACTTTTTACAAGCAGAACTTCCTGCTGCCAAGGCAGAAATAGCTCGACTCCAGCAATAAAACGCCTCTCTTCGTGAGTGTCTAGCTCAGGTTTTTCCCATACCACTGACCTGCCCGCTGCCACCCGTCCTCAATCCTTCCAAAAAAGAGCTTCCACTCCAGATCCTCAGCTTCCTTCACCAACCAAGACCTCAAGGCAAGCTGCTACTGCTCGTACATTCAGTCTTCCTTCTTCAAATCAAAGTTTTAAATACCTTTATGTTCCTGTCCAGCGCCGTATCCCTATCAGCCAACTACGTAGCCGACTACGACGTCTGCATATCAATAGCAGTCGTATTCTCGATATACACTATCCGGATCGTCACTTTGTTGCCCTACTTATCCGTAATGACTATGAGTCTGAGCTTCGTTCACAGTTAAATAAGCTTACAATTACCGTTTGCGATGAGTATGATCCTCTTGATCCCGCAAATTTGCGTGACCCAGCGTGCTCCAAGTAGAGTCACCAAGACAGGGTCGACTATGCCTTTGGTACTCTCACAGATCGTCTAATTCGTGCTGTTCAACGTGCTGTCGCACGCTTCTTTATTGAGAAAGACTTTTTTGGCACCGAAGCGTTTCTTCAGAATTGGAAATATGTTATAATACTACACCAAACCAGCCTATACTCGTTGCTCAACAAAGAATACTTGGTGATCCCTTAACCTAACGCAAATATCTGGATATTCTGCCCGATGAAAAAGTAAACCAAAAGAGAAAAAGATGTGAACTTCGTAAGCTTAAAAAAGGAAAATAAATGTGATAACGCAACACTAACCTTTTCTTAAGCAACTGACACACAAGTAGTTCAATTCATTAATAACATCTATTGCGTCGATGATCCAAATAATCATGAAGCTTACCAAACGAAACTGGTCACTACACAAGAAATATTTGATACAGTTAATGAATATACAACTATATTTGAAAACAAAGCATTTCTGGCATTTGCTCGATGGTGTTCAATTAAAAAAACGTTATTTTTACGGGCCATTAGTTTTTTGGGAAGTGACATTTATTTTTTGGTTACAGATATTCAACCTTCTCAAAATGACAAAATTTACCGTTCTCACTGTATTTTGATGTTCATCCTTTTTTTTTTTCATTTCTCTTTCTGTTTGTATTTGTTTGTATTTAGATTTTTTGACGATGAACGAAGCAAATGCAAAGACTGAGTTAATTATTTGAAGTCAGAAATGTTTGCTAATATAAAAATACCAAATTTAGTGATGATTATTGAACACATAAATACCATGGTTATCGTAACGACAATGTGTTGGTGTATACCTTTGTGTTCGCTTTTATAGTAAGTACAGGTGCTTTTGTACGAAAATCTATTGTGTCGCTGTATGTCTAACAATGGCTGATAAGTTTGCCAGACTGATGCCATTTATTTTTCATTTACAATAACAAAAGATCATCTGACTCTAAATATTGAGTAGAGTTTCTCTCAAGATTATTTTATTCTCTCCCACTCACCACTGAACTTTATCGCTTGTTGAACTTTAAATGAGGCCATCTTTATTGAAAAGCCATGGCTAGTCTCCAGTTTCTCAAAAATGCTATCTAGTATTTCTCTGACTTGTGTTGGGTGAGACATGTGAATTTCCAACTACTTTTCAGCGGCGACATTTTGTAAGTATACTTTTGAACATCCTAGGTACCATGGTAATCCACGTCATAGCAACAAATTATGTGCATTGTCGGACAGTGTCTCCGAAACGGAAAAAGAGACGATCCTTGTACTACAGTAACTCAGCTTAATCAAGGGTAATACAAACCCCCTCTCCTTTTTTTTGCTTCAAATGAAAAAAATTTATTTATGCTTAACTATTATTTTATTTACATATTTACAATTTGCAATCATTTGTTTCTGTCAACAGGACATTAAGTCAAGAGTGAGTCTTCTTTCTTCATCAGATAATACAATTGGCTTTTGTTGTATGAACAAGTCGATATCTTCTTCAACAAACGGTTTTTGTTTAATAAATTGTTCTTGTTCCTCTAAAGGAAAGAATAGTTCTGGTATATCTTCGTTTTCTTCATCATCATCATCAGTTAGAGGCACGTCACTCATACCAAGGATATAGAGAAGATCACTGTCATCGATAATTGGTTCGGTACATTCGAATTGAAATGGCTGTACCAATAGTAATGTGTTAGTTTCTGTCATTGTTTTCGAGATAAAAGTAAGGATGAGGAAAATGAAGAGCCTTTATTTATATGAGAAAAAAAAAAAAAATGATTAAAAAATTTTTTGTTTTATTTTAGTTTGAGAATTCATCGTCATCAAGAGCTACTATTTGTTGGAACTGGCACATTTCTGCAGAGCGGACATTGATTTTGACCCTCAGTTAACCACTTGTCTATACACTCCTTGTGAAATCCATGATGACATGCAAGAATACGCACATCCTCTTCTGATTGGTAAGCATTCAAGCACACCTGACATCCTTCTGAATTGCCAATAATATTTTGCTTCACTTGCTGGGTATATTTCACAATAGGTACATGGCTATCTATCGCTTCTTGACTCACCGTCGGTCTTCTGGCTGGACCAATGATACTAGCTAGATCCAATAATTCCTCGTAGGTTGGGTTACGCTCACTCATGATATTCTCTACACTATTTCCACTAATAATATACACTGTCCATTGTCCATTATTTCCATTGCCATTACTGGTATTATTATTATCATTATTGTTGTTGCTGTTTCTTGTTTCTTCCTCTGCATTATTATTGTTATCCTCCTCTCTTTGCTGTCTTTCTCTTAAGCGTTGACTTTGTCTTCTCACTGGTTGTTCCGAAGTAGAGCTATCTTCATCATTCAATACGCTTGAGAGATTTAGTTGATGGTTGCTACGGATACCATACAAGAATACAGGTAACATTAAAATTCGAGTGACTTCATCATTATTTAATAACCCTGTACTTGATGATGGTGATGATGATTGGTTGTTACTGCTATTTTCCGTAGAAGAAGTTGTTGTAGTCGTAATAGAAGTATTATTATTGTTGGTAGCAGCGGTACTACTAGCGGTTGATTGGCTATTATTTACTCGTTCACTTGTGCCTTGGTCCTCTGGCGTAGCACCTTCGCTTTGATTTGATGAAACAATACTTGATATAATAACTGGTAGCCGCATAAACCTCATGAACGAATTCTCATCACTTTCTGGTTCCATTTGCTGAAAGAGCTCAGGTGATAAATGCATAGTAAGTTGTTGTCGAATGCTTCTATTATCGTCTTGCCGGTCTGAACCTTGGAAGGCAGATGCATTGAATTGAATCTGTCCACTCCGGAAAGAAGCAACCACAGCCTCACTAATGACTTGAGCTAACATACGTGCAAATGGACTTAGACTACTGTAGGAATTCATTGTGTTTGTGATATTTGTCATTGTGACTCCAGACGGATTCTCAGTCAATTCATGTTGTGTTTGTTCTTGATGTGCTTGTGCTCGTTCTTGTGCTCGTTCTTGTTCTTGTTCTTGTTCTTGTTGTTGTTGTTGTTGTGTCTCAAATGCTTGACGTTCTCTTTGCTGCTCTCTTTGTTCTCGCAGCTGAGACCTTCTATATCTTCGTTCTGCTCTACGTTGACTATCATTCAATGGTATATATTGCATGTTGGGTGGATTGCGATTAATGTATATTGGATTAATTCTTTCTACTTGAGTTCTTGAACTAGGCCTAATAACTCTCTCTCGAGAATTATTAGAAGGTTGCTGTTGTTGTTGCTGTTCTTCTGGTTGTTCAGGAGAGGATTGTCTTTGTCCCATGAATTATGACTAACAGATAAAGAAAGAAATAGAGAAGAGAAAGAAAATAGAAATTCAAGGAAAAAATAAATAGCGTATTCGGGCTTTTATTTTGCATACTAGGAATTAAGGTACGGTGGCTGACAAAATTGGTCGTATGTTGTATCATTCTTCCGTTTATTTATATTACTTACCTCCCCCAGTGGATCCTATCTCATCATGAGTCACATAATCCTCACACCAAAGGCTTAGAAGCAAGGATTTGTTGAATAATTTCAAGTCATGCTGCTATTGCATAAACACATCACTCTAGGTAAGCTCTTAAAGTTGAACCACACATACGATCGATTTAGTGATAAATATAAAAAAAATCAATTTATAAATTCAAAGAACTCTCCCTTAGAGTGGATTTTTTCCATTTCTTTCTTTTTCTTTTTCTTCTAGAACGCTTTTCATATAGGTGAAAGCTTAGGTTAGTTGCTTGTCGTAATGAAGACACTACAACGTGATAATTCAACATGCAGTCGTTACCTTAATTGGCAGGTAAACAACACCAAACAAGTCGAACAGTAGAATTGCAAGGGGAGTCACAGCATCTATTCAACGGTTCAGAAGATAAACATGAGTGGAAATGCCAACACGGTTGATCGTAGACTGATAGTTGCCCCCGTAGACTCTGAAGACAAGGGACGTTAGAGAAAAAAGAGCAACGCTATCAATGTGGATACTCTATGTAGAGCATATAAAAAAGTTTGTAAATCTTTGTAAAGGTGCAAAAGACATCAAAAAAATACCTTTCATGAGTTGGAGAGCATAAAAACTGGGCTGACATTGATTGCAAACATGTCATACTTTAGATAAAGCAAAGATAACCTCTCCCTTTTAATTAGATGGGAAATAATGCAGGGAAGCCACCAGAAGGGAAACTGGCCACTCGTCACGTGCCATCAACTGTCAAATGTGGTAATGGTAATGTTACAGTTTAAAGCTGTATATCTCGGGAAGGCACTAGCATTGGTCGTCATATGGGAAAAGTCATTTAGCAAAAGTAATCAAAAGTAATAGAATTGGGCAAACAATAAGATAATCTGAAAGATACATAAACAGATATGAAGAAGTGGCTATTTTAGACCTGAATTCAATAGAAATGTGCTTTCACAAGCATATAAAAATCGTACTATTTTGAACTTCTTTTTCTGAAAAAGATTAACTTATGCTGTCATTTATAATGAAGTAACACGTACAAACCAAAAATATCATATGCTTAGGAAAAAATATACAACAGATTACACAAAGAACAGGGTCCTCTTTATAATTAAATAAAAAATAGAATACTGATTATACAAAATTAATATTAAGAGATTACAATTTTACTGGGATATTATGCATAGCCAGTCGTTTGTCGAGTGCACGACATTCATTAGCCCATTTGGCCTTTTCTAGTTCTAATTGTTCTTTACGCTCCTTTTGATACATTGCCTGTTCTAGCTTTTGTCGGCATTCTTTTTCTTGCGCTAATTGATGCTTGAGTTGTTCAATCATGGCCATCAATAATTTTGCACTTGGTTCAAGGGTAGGTCCAGAAGCCAAAGCAGGTGGACAAGACGTCCTCCTTGTCCGTGGTGTCTTGACAACTTGTTGGCGACAGTGCGGGCAAGCTGTTTGATCTTCTGCCTGTTCTGGAGAAGGTTGTGTTTGGACTTGAGCGTGACGAATACGGGCTTGCCTTCGATGTCGCGCTGCTTCGGGTACAGTACGAATGTCTGTTGGAAGATTATTCTGAGTTGTACCAGGCGAAGGTGTTGGTGTTGGTGGTGGTGGTGCAGGTCTGTGTGGGACAATAGGAAAATGAAACTCGTGAAGCGTCATACATGGCTCCTTTTCTGATGTTTCACTATAGACTCCCGAATCGCGCAGGGTGCTGTTGCTGTTTATACTATCGCCCGGATTATGCTTGTTACTATTGCCACGACGTAAAATGGTCTCTTGATCAAATGATGAAGCCTCACGTAGAGTCCCGCTGCTGATGTTATGCTCTTGTATCAGGCTGTGCATTGGTAGCTTGAAGTCATCATACTTTTCAGCAGATGGTCTTTTACGTAACTTCTTTAATAATCGAGATGCTCTGTTCAATTGTTTTTTATTATGTTCCTTGAAGTACTCTTCAGGCCCAGTCGTAGATAAAAATTGGGCTAAGAGTAAAGTATCTGTCATGGATATGTTTTCTTCATCGTCAGAATCATCATTAAATAACGCAACATTCTTTGTCACAGGCTTAGGGACAGCCCTTTGCTGTGCTAATGTCTTGGTTTTATACATTAAAGAAAAAAGTAAAGAAATAAAAAAAGAAAGAAAGAAAGAGTTTAAATATACATTATTAGTCTCCTTATTCATATAAACCCTCTTTATGAGTATCATTGGATTTATTTCCCTCTTTCTACTATCTGTCACTCACCCTCAGCCCCCCGCCCCCCCCCCTCTCCTTTCTCCAATTTAAATTATTTTCCTTGCATGATTTTTTTTTATTGTTCAATGTGACAAGTTAAATTTTGTTTTCTTGTTTCCAATTGTTGACGTAAAGTTTGCTGTTCTTCTGATTTATTGGTGCCCAGCAAGAGAATAGCCTTTGCTGTGTCCTTGTGCAGTTCTTTCGTTCTTTCCTGAAGTATCCATTCTTTCTTCTCCTTTTCTTCTGTTGTATGTGTCGTCTTTATATCATCTAATTTTTTATTCTTTCTCCATTTTTTCCATCCCTCAATATCAATCAGCGCTTGCATGCAACCCCATTCAGTAATTTTCTTTTCTAACCATTCTAAACTCACGGGTTTCGTCAGGAAATCATTACACCCTGCTGCCAGGGCTGCTTGTCGATCTGACTCCAAAGATGAAGCAGTCAAGGCAACAATAATAACAGGTGATTGAAATTCTGTGTTCAATGATGGTAACACACCAATCTTTTGTTCTTTTTCGATGCCTCGAATCATCTTGGTTGCTTGGATACCATCCATAACAGGCAATTGAATATCCATCTATACAATTTAGTCTTTACATTTTCATTAATGTCATATTAAGCTTACCAGAATCAGATGAAATCCTCCTCCTCTCCATTTCTCGACTGCCTCCTTTCCATCTGATGCGACTGAGAACTTTATACCATGTTTCTTCATCCACGTTGATAAGATAGCTTGATTAATCATATTATCTAGAATAGCAAGTTAGCTCCTTGTATTATATTACATGTCTCCCTTTTTAATGTGTTACCTTCTACAATAAGCACCGTAATTGGAGGGCTCGTTCTGACTGTCGCGTTCTTTTCTTTTCGTTTACGATTGCTAATATTAAAGTTCATCTTGGGTTTTCGTTTTGTTTCTTCTTTAGGTTGTTCCTGTCTTTGTTCTTGCTGTACGTCCGTATTCTCTTTTGATGGTGATTGAATGTTTTCTAATAAACCCAGCCTTGCGTTACTAACAGAGCGAATTCTTTTCTTGACCTGCTGTTGCTGTTGCTGTTGCTGCTGCTGCTGTTGTTGTTGTTGATCCTGTTGTTGCTGTTGTTGCTGCTGTTGTTGTTGCTGTTGATGTTGATGTTGAGAGTCTTTTGGACTGGTCACGACTTGCCCAAGAGGAGAAGTGTTTTCTTTGTTGCCGCTTCCTCTGGGAGTAAAATAAGTTCCTTTGTCAAGGTGATCGATATAGTTAGGAGAGTGTAATCTTAACTTATTACGTCCAGGTGAAAGTCTATCGTGAGGGGTCATAAAACCTCCCGGAGTGACAAATGACCCTGTGCTCGAACTTCCATCCGTCTGAATCCCTGGAGACATGGTCGTATGAGGGGCCACAAAAGGACTGAGTGGTGATGTGGCAATAGGAATAAAGTGTGGCTCGACAATAGCATTGATCCATGCGGTGTGTAGCGCCGTCAGAAATCGACGGGGTCCAGCTGGCTTGGGCACTACGACCACACGTGGCATATAGGGTGAATGAGTCATTGTCGAGAACCACTGAATCGTATCTCGCACTCGTTTATAGTTTGAAAGTGACGTGAAATAGATGATGGCAATGGTTGATCCCTGAAAGAGCACATCGCTCGCTCTCGACTTGGGTTTTCTTGGCCGGATCCTTTGAGCAGGTAGCGGATCACGACATTCTTTTAGTTTATGTTCAAGAATCATGATATCATCGTCGATCAGGATAAATGCAGGCGGGATTGAATGGATATGGTCTTCTTCGATAGCAGGCGATGGTACCTTGTTATTGGACGACCGTTGGGTTGGCGACGTGATGGATTCATTCATTCCTTGCATCGTGGCTGGCGTTGTAGTTTGCGTCACAGGCATATGGCTTATGTCTGTATTCCAGTGCGTCAGATAGCTCGTCAAATGCCGAGCAAACACGCTCTTTTCAGGCGCGTGGAGTACCAGGCGCACGCCCTTGAGATTGGATAGAAACTTGGTCAAGTCTTGTAAAGTTGGCTCGTTGGAGAATCGAATGTTCTGTAGTTGCTTTTCCAGAATCTGTGAAGGCTTTTCTATCAAAATCAATCGCTGGTCTCCGTTTACACTGCCCGGGAAGGCATCGAGCGTGAGTTGGATCCGGACTTTGTTGAGATCAGTATCTTGAATTGTCAATTTGCCGCCGATGTAGCGTATGAGCTGTTCAGTAAAGTTGGCATTAGGAAGTAAGGGCACAGCTGAAGAGATTCCGGGCGGGATAGCAGGAGAGGCAATTTGTGTAATATCAAACGTCACGCGGACTTTTGGAGTATCAGGAATCGAAACGATATTAAGTCCAAACTCGATACATGCACCAGGCGTACATCCCTCGAGCATGTTACGAAGTAGCTATAAAAAGATTGGTTGCATGCTTAAATAAAAAAAGAAAAGAGATGCTTACATGAACTAGTGTATGTCTCGTAGCATCTTCGTCTCCTATGATTGTCGAATAATGCAGTCCATTATCCATGTGATAAATCACAAAATGAACACCCAATTTGGCAGACATTCCTGCTAATGCATCGCCTACGTTCTGCACTAGCTCTCCCACATCAAATGGTTCATTCACGGTTGTCTCTACTGACTCGCTCTTAACGTGTTCGCTCAGCATGCTTGATAGTACCTTCAGATGAGATCCAATATGGCAGGCTTGTTTGACGGTTGTGTTGATGGCAGATATAGTCGTGATGGGTACTGCCATAGAGCATGCGCTCAAGAGTTCATATGTATTTGACAAGATAGAAGGAGGCGCAAATTGTTCGAGTGTAGACATGATCATGACTGCTGCATCCTTGATTTCTTGGGATGTTACTGCCAAGAATACCGCTCGTCTCTGACTATAGTCACGGATAGCTTCCTTTACGTTTGATTCGTGTTGTCGTGTCTGGTGCTCAAGATCAAGATGAGCTGCATTCAAGATACGTTCGGCAATATAGAATAATAGTGCGCTTGTGAGCGGCATAAGCTTGTATAACCAAGATGTATTATGCGTCAAAAGCAGCAAAAGTGTTGTGTAGCGTGCATACACCAATGTCCAACGATCGGTCCAGCCGAACCATGAATAGAGTGTGATAAGCCAAACAATGCTTTGCCACTTTGGTATATACAGTATGTTGAGTAGAATGGCAGCAGCAATGACAATCACGATCTCTTGCTGAACATGGTGTGTCTGACCTTTATCAAGTTGAATCTCTATAGCTTCTCTCTCTTCTTTTTCCTCTTCTTTCTGTCTCTGTCGTTGAATAGGCAAGTTAGCCAACCTTGGTCTGCTTGTAGGTTTTGTTTTTATAAATGAAGGTGTCGTTGTTGTGTTGTCATTGGTGGACATTATAAATAAATAAAAAAGAGGAAAAGGAAGTTCTTTATTTTTTCTATTATTGTTTTTCTGCTATTTAAAAGAGGGGGAAAAAAATGCAACAGTCCTTCACCTCCCAATTTGTGCTAAAGAACATTATGTTGTCTTTTTTTTTTTATTCGTTCAGTTCTATGATAGCTACTATGGCCTCTCTCATTGACCTATAAACCATAAGCTGGGGTTATGTCATGAAGATGGATGATATCATACCGAAGCCACTCCTTCCAGTAGCTAAAACATAAAGTTTAAATGAAACACAGACTAAAAATATACTTTATCGCTTGCTACTGCTTATTAGCATATTCTCTTATTATCTCATACAAACATCCTTATAAAGATTCTCTCTCTCTCTTTTTCTACATAGCATATTGTGGTTTCAAAGCCTACGTCCACTTAAAGCGCCGCTTTGACGCTGATGGAATGCACCAAAGATTGTTGAATAAACATAAAAGGGAAGCAGTAATTTCATCCGCATCCTATTGTAAAATAAAGAAATAAATTGAGGAATTCAATCAAGGATGCTTCAAGAAAGTCAAATATTAATAATCAAGTAACATCATCTATTTTCCCTTTATGAATACAAAAGCTCTCGATTTAACACAAGGGATTTCTTTCAAAAATCTATTCTATAATAATCAGTTTTTAATTTCACTAGATTACACGATTGACTTCAAGTCAAATTCGGTCAATGCATGCCCATCATCCACAGTATTGAACTGCTGCTTCAGAATTGTCTTTTGATCCTATGATAAAGTAAGCAAGATGTACATCTCTAATACGTGTATACTTTACTTGTGCAAAATGGAAGTATCCAATGAACTTTTTCTGTTCAAGAAGAAAAGGAAACCAATATTTATCGTCTGTCCACATCTGATCAAAAGGAATGTCCTTATAGTCAAACCATTCAGGTCTCATTTCCTCTGTTCTAATACATGATGAGTAATTATATATTATAAAATGACACCTATTACTCTATAGGCTCTCCTTTGAATGATTCAACAACAAAAATGTGCGTCTCTAACGCAACCGGATCATCTTCAAAGGTAAATAAATTGATAGCAACTTTTTTCATATCAATAGCCTCAATGCCTGCTTCTTCCTATATTGATGAATGAATAACATGATAAAAAAATACTTACAGCTTACAAATAGTTCTCTTCTTGCTCCTTCTTCAATTGTCTCTCCTAATTCAACTTTGCCTCCAAATCCTTTTATTTGAGTGTGAATACACTGTTGGTTATGAATAAAAACAATATAGTTACCATTGAATTTGTTGGCTCCAAAGCCTCTTTTTTTCATCCCCAAGAGGACCTTTTTTTATATATTAACATATATAAACTACACCATATTTCCCATGTATACTTTTTGTTCTTTCTTATTCAAAGTTAAAATGAGTGTAAGTAGCTTTTTGCTTGTAATGAATGACATTTGCAGGGGAAGAAGAATAGAAAAAAAAAAAACTGTATATAAAATGGACTGCCTTTTCATATAAAACAAATAATATGCACCATCTTTATTCTGTGGTTTCTTCGTTAGCATCCACCAATCTGCTCGACCATAACATCAATACTATCACCGTCATCCATATCCAACTAAAGAATAAAATAAAGGGTTTAAAAAAAAGGTATAGTTACAATCATGGCAACTTACCTCATTAGGTGTATTGTGATTCAAAATACGCGTACCATCATATAAAAAGCGTACTGATCCTGGTGCTTTTCCTTGACGTTCGCAGTAGGCATCCATCAATTTGCGCAATTGAGTGGTTCGTTTAATTTTGAAAAACACTTCATTGTTGTCCTATTGGGGAAATGATAAAGAAGTTGGTGATAAATAGAAAAAAGTGTAAATAAAACTCACATTTCCAACAACTTTAAGATTGATATGTTCGTTGGAAGCGTTTTCTTTCTTTTCTTGCTTTTCTTCAGACATTTTGCGCAGATTACAGAAAAAAGAAGTAAAAAAAAACCATGTTTACCATTTAAAGCTTTCATTGTCCGATATCACGTGATGCCATATAAAACTAGTGACGGGTTTGCTTCTTTTTGATCTTGTTCATTCCCCCTGCAACATGTCACTGAGACAATTTTGTAGAAATGTTTGTTAAATAGATCATAGTCGAAATGCTTGAGTTAACTTTACATTCCAATAGCGTCTTGCGAATTGTCTGGCAAAGCCTTCCTTCACCAGATACCAAAACAGTAGACTATTATTACCTTACCGCACCTATGCTACCTCTAGAGAAGAAAGTCTAAAGGCTAAAGCTGCCGTTGGCGTATGTGTACAATATACATAAATAAGACAATACTAAATAATTTATAGCCCTTTACATTTAAAGCAGCTGCCTTATTCTTGGGTGTAGGTTCAGGTTTACTCTTATACTTTAAAAGTGAAAAATCAAAGGTAGAAAAGCTCCGTGAACAGAAAGAAGCAGAGAGAAAGAAACCAGAATCGTTTGGAAAACCCAAGCTAGGAGGCGAATATACCTTGACGAATGCAGAAACCATGAAACCCTTTGGATCGGACGATTTAAAGGGTAAATTCAGTTTGATTTATTTTGGATTTACACATTGTCCTGATATCTGTCCTGATGAGCTGGATAAAATGGCACAAGTAGTTGACATGGCTAGTAAAGTGTGGACATGATATATATATATATATAAATGAGCTAATGATTGTATATAGAAAAGGAATATGGACAAGATGTCTTGGTTCCTGTGTTTATCACTTGTGACCCCAGACGAGATACAGCCGAAATAGTGAGAGAGTACGTCAAGGACTTTCATCCAAATCTGATTGGTTTGACAGGCACAGATGAAGAAATTAGAAAAGTAGCTAAACTATTTCGAGTGTACGTGTCATCTCCTCCTGATATTAGTGAGGGAGATGATTACTTGGTGGACCATTCCATCTTCTTTTACCTAATGGATCCTCAAGGCAAATTTCTCGATTGCTACGGACAGAATGCTGAAGCAGATGAAGTTGCCAAAAGCTTCAAAGGCTATTATGAAGAGTATAAAAAGACACATTAAAGAGAAATGAGTTTATGTACAGCAATAAATGTTTAATATAACAAAAAAAAAAAAGAAAAAGGAACCAGCCTAATCTGAAGATAAGCAGACAGCCAAAGCATGTTGCTGAACAAGGTATTCTTCATGATCAATCATGGAGGAATCAATAGAATTGGGCGTAGAAGGCACCGAAATCAAGGAGGGGGTAAATTGTTGATGATGAGGTGGTGTTTCTGGTATTTGTATCATGGCACGAGAGACTATTTTTGGTATTTCATCTTCACAGATAATTTCGAGTCCTTCTGATCTTTCTTGACTACGTTCTTTCTGTGTGAGTTCTGATGGCTGATCAATGTGAGATGATCGGCGGGATTTGCTACTGATTTTTTTATTTTTAGAATTATCTAAAGACTTCTCTTCTTCTTGTTGTCTCTTTCCTTCTAAGGATAACATGGCCTCTTGACGATATTTATCTCGAAATGAGTATATCACGCTTTGTTCTACCAATTGATGTCGCCAAGTGTGATCTTCGTTCTCATTTATCTTTGTTTCCTTGATAGCTAAAGTGAGTTGCTCCGCACCAGGTAATGTCAAGGGTGATTTTCTTCGTCTTCTTTCTTTAAGAGATAACCGTTTGGACTCATCAATTAAGTCAATCTCTTCCTCAGGTTGACTCATTGCGCTTACAGAGATGCAGGAGTCTAATGGTTTCTCAGTTGCGGTCAACCATGAATCAAGAGAAGAGTTAGTTGGCTTTGAAGGCAAGGGTGGGATGACCAAATCGCTTGATGGCTTTGTGGCACCGAGTGTACCACTTCGGAAAGGAGTGGGATGATTCGATGTGCTACCAGAGTATCCAGTGGAGACACTTTCGTTATCATCGTCTTTGATACTTTGTGTGGGTGATTGAAGACATTCAGCGTCAAGAGATAAGCGTAACAGAGTGGGTTGTCCCTTGGTAGACTTGGGTTTTACTTTAGGTGTGAGTGTAGGGTCTATCAGTGGAATGCGATCTTTGTTACTGGTAGGTATCTGGATACTCTGTCTCTTTGGCTTGGGCTGTCTAGGAGGAGGAAGAAGGGACGATGTTGGTTCTTTCCATTGGGATGAGGATATATCATTATGTGAAGTAAAAGAAGAGGATGCTGTCATCGTCGTCAGCTTGGCTGAGTCTATATATTTGGTTAGACTTGTGCATTTAAACTTTTTTTATGTTTTACCTTCAGCTGAAAACTCTTTTTGATCATCATTTAGAACATGAAGAACCTCGAATGATGGAGAAGTATTTAATTTTGAATATCGTTTTAGTTTATTTGTCACAAATGAAAAACAAGACGACCAGCGAAACTTGCGAGATGAAGATGATGTATCTGATTTTACGCTACTATTCTTTGTAAGATGGTATTTTCTAAAGAGTGGTTCATCTGCCATAGACAAAAAAAAAGCCAAAGATAAAAAAAAAAGAAGGGTATAAAAAGTAAAGAGAAAAGGGAATAAAGTTAAAAAGAAAAGAAAAAGAGAGAGAATAAAGAAATTTTTATAAAAATTTATATATTTTGCTACTCGGTGCTACACTATATTCTTAATGAGGCAAACATCCTTGAAACTACATTTTCTTTGTCTAAAAAAGAAATTGTAGACGGTTCTATACGACCTTTTACTTCAACATAGCTTATTCTTATTAAGCTTTCATCTTTTGTATTTTATTCTCTTTGTACGTGGGTAGAACCTATTAATTATTTTGTATCACGTCTTGTCTATCTCTTCTTCTCCTATTCCCTCGTGCGGTCTTTCATCTGTCATGGTTGTCTTCGGTCATTCAATTCCTCCACGTTGCAATCTTTTTAAACTTTTTTTTTTTTCACCATGACAACGAATAAAAAAAATAGTGACTTTATGATATCATTACTTGTGAAACAAGCGCTAAGCATATGTGCTTCATTTAAAGCCAATGTGATTCAATGGCTTATGCGTTCGGTCGTTGCTTTGTTACTCAGCCTATTTTGTTATTCATTAGACGAAAAGTTGGCATTAAGCGTTATCTGCGGGGTTTGTACTTTTCTTTTTACCAAATTAAAAAAAAAATACAAGCTCTGCTAATGTCCCTACAGCAAGCTGAGCAACTGCCTTTGATCTCTTCAAGATCAAGCAATGTATCTGATTCTGTAAGCGCATTTACTTATGCGGACTTACAAAGATGGCTAAAAATCTACCAAACAGCTTCAGAAAAGATAGAGCAGCTAGTCATGTCGAGATCTGATACTAATACGCAACATGATCTACAACTGCTTGACGAGAAAATCAGACAAATAAAGCAAGAACTTCAGTACTGTGAGGAACATCTCAACACTATCCAGAATTTTCTATCAACAAAATCTGTTAATTCACCAAAAGTGATCATACCAGTGTCTATCACTACTAATACTACTATTACTCCTGCTACTACACCTACTACTCCTTCTAAAGGATCAACCATACCGTCATTCAGTTTATGGGATATATCTATGCTCAAGCATATACCACAAGAAGAAGTAGATCAAGGTAACACCTTTTTGACAATATATGACTTTATTGAAAAATTTGAGTCAACATTGGCGTTTTATCGTGTCGATCTTGATGCCTCCTGGTTCCAGTATCTGGCCGCGTCTGTGCATAAGGGAGGTGACCAGAAAATCATAAAATGGTTTGAACAAGCCTTTAGTTTGGAGCCAGCTCTTAAAATGGCACGTTGGAAGGAAATTCGCGAAAAGTTGATCTTACGCTGGGACATCACTTTGGATCTACAAAAGAGTCGTCAGCAGTTTGTTAGTATCAAGCAAACGATTGGTGAGCCAGCCTATAAATACTTTAATCGTTTTATGAATGCATGGAAAAAAGCGATGATACCAGATGGTCCTATACTCGTTCATTTCTTTATTCAATCCATTCAGGATCCTCTAAAGATGCTTATCAAGTCTTGTCTCTCAGAGGCCCTTCAAGGGCAAGGTTACCTTGAAGGCCCTTACTCTGCTGTCAATGACAGCCTCTCAAGTCTGCAATCCTTACTTGAAAAAAAAGAAAGACTACCTTGACGCCGTGTCGATACAGCTATTCCAATCACAACAAGAAAAGCAAAAAGGGCTGGAATTACTAGAGATGGACCATGATCGCATTCATCCAGTAGAAACTAGAACCATAGCCCCTACAGTGCCTATACCAGATGTAACTCTCGCTTACAACTCATATACGATACCACCAAGAGCTCCAGCAAGTGCATTGCCCCTATCAGATCGAAGAATTGCTGGTAGCTCCTCTCTTTCTATGATCAAAAAGGATACACTCAATATGATACCAAGCATGAACAAACCGGTGGCCACTACTCAAATTTCAATGGTTCATAAGGACTTGCTAAGTAAAGTCACCATGGTTCGTAAAGATTTAACGACCAAAGTAACCATGGTGCATAAAGATACAAGCAACCAGTTTTCAATGATTAAGAGTTTATCTTCTTCACAAAAGAGAATGCGTCAAGATGAACTAGACCACGTAAAGAGACGGAAAGCAGAGCCGGAAAACTGCAGGCATTGCGGGTTTGATCCCTCTCAGGGGCATCTGGAGGATTGTGCTGAGCTGCAAATGATACGGTCCATTCATCGAAATGCTTGCGGTTCACATGTAGAGATTAAGGTAGAGCAAGGTTTTATCAAAGGATTCAAGGATATTCCAAGTGGCCCTATCTTACCAGAAGAGTATGCAGAATATATGATGCCTGTATCTTTAAAGAAAAAGAAACAGGCAAAGGCAAAGGCAAATGCGTCTTCAGATACAAAGAATACAAGTGTGCCCAAGCTGAAAGAACGAATGATTGAACCTGCTGAAGTTCAAAAGATCAAGACTGAGCGAACTGTACCCAAGCTGAAAGGACGAACTATTGAGCCTCCTGAGCCTCTAACAGTCAAACAAAAAGAAAGGACTTTTGAACTCTCTGAGGCTGCAAAGTCCGGACAGAAAGAAAGGGCAACCGAGCCGATGCCACCTAAACAAAGTCAAAAATCAAACTCCTCATCTGAGTCAAGCTCGCCCAAGCAGAAAAAAAGCGTCGAACTTGCTTCTGAACCGATGTCGCCCGAGCAAGATCAAACATCTGCATTGATCTTACCCAAACAGGAAGAGGAGCCTACTGCTGAGGCTACGACGCCTGATCAGAAAGGCAAGGCGGATGAATCTGCCAGTGAGTCTGTGATGATCAATATGTTCCGAGATATTCTAAAGAAGGTAGAGTCGGAATATGGATTGTCAAAGAACACTTGATAGCAAAGATAGTGTGTGTTATACAAACATTCCCATTCTCTCCGTTTCCTGTTTCCCTCTTGATATTTCCTTTTTGTACATTGCAATCCCTTTTATACATACAATATACTCAATCACTAAAATATATATACTGAAATCCTTCTTTTTGTATGAAAGTGTGGACTTTAACAATGTTTTTTTATAGTTCTATATTGGAAGATAATTTCCATTCAAAAGGCAAAGACAGTAAAAATCCGCTATATTCCGGTTCAAAACTGTTGACGGCTGCAGTTGTATACCACGGAGTGTCATCGAAGACGCAATGCCAGTGATATTTCCAGATTGTTGCGATACCTGCATCAAAAAAACTAAGGAAGTCCGTATTGACTATGGTTTGCTCGTTTATCGGAACAAAGGAAGTGAGCATAGGCCAGATTTCATCCGCGGTGAGAAGCTTGTCCGGCAGAGAGTATCTCTCGAAAATTGAGAACCAGAAGTTAAGCTTGGGAGAGCAGCTCACAAAGAGATGGTGGTGTGTTTCAATGTCTTGTTGGCAGAATCTGCACAGTGAAGAGGAGGTCCGATTGGGACTCTAGACATGCTGCAAAGCAGTTGTAAGGACGTAGCAATGTAACAGGCAAAACCATGATGTGAAGGCCTTAAGAGGTATATTCAGGGACCAAAAAGTTTATCAGTACTGAAGTCGGAGAAGCAGCGAACGAGGCAGAGTCAAAGGCGGATAGCGTGGGCGTTGTAAGCAAGTCGTAGTCTTTGTACCCAAAGAAACGGATCTGACCGGGGAAACCTTAACAATCAGAAAAGGTACTACATTGGATTTCCGCGTAAGGTTTGGGATAGCCCAATGAGCGCAGGAAGGGCATCCAAAAGGAGGCTTTTTAAAATCTAGTAGGTGCTGACACCTGAGAGCCCAAAATGGAAAAATCACCGTGAGGACCAAAAGTAGAGCGGCTGATCTGCGGTATCAACTGCAGAGTAGCTTGAGATGTCCTTCGGCTTGGGAAAAGGCTTCTTTCTAAGCGCACGGAGGGCGGACGATGTGGTTGTACGGAATGAAAATATGAACCAGGAGATTATAAGAAACCTTTCAGCTATGCTTGTCTAGTGTAAACCTTTCGCATGTATTTTTTGTCATGCATATGAGGTATTGAGCAACCATGAAGGCTCCAACACCAATAGTGAAGACAGATCTAACAATCATGACTCTACCGAAAGCGGCTCACCCATCATTATCATCAGTCCTTCGACGAGATTGAGGCTAACTGAATGAGGCGATAGATGCACTCACAACTTGCCAACAATGGATGCAGTTGTCACAGCTATTCCTATTGGGTATAGCGAAAGAAATTTCCATGACATTGATCTTTTCTCGAGAGGCAGTAATAGAAGCAGAAATGATAGTCTGCATCAACGATATGACTTTGTACGTATTTCATCTATTTTTCTAGACTTCAAAGCATTGGATTATGAATGTTTCTCTTAGCTTGCTCAGTTTCCCAATGTCGATTATACACTTTGACTACTGACCATCTGATCACGTCTATTCTCTTGGAAAGGCAATAGCGTACAGTAAACTTTCATTTTTGAACTCTTCCAGCTCAAGCTATGACACTCGTTGTCTTTGATATTACGGTTACACTTGCTTTCTTGCTCTGAAATAAAGCACATCTACCTTTATTACTTTTTAGTGACGCGTAGAAACAAAAAGCTTAAAGTATACGTGGTAAAAAAAAATAAATTATATTCTGACATTATGGAGTTTCTTTAAACTGGTAGTGGTGGTACTGAAAGTTTTCTGAATTTGCGTGCAAACGCGGCAGCATGCTTGACAGCTTTTTTGAGTAGATTTCTAGGAAATTGCCGTTTTCGCAATGTACTTTCGTCAATGATAGGAATGCCGCCCTCAGTCTACATACCAGCGAAATCATCCAAGGAATCAGCTACAATATCTCCAGGAGGATGAAGTTTAAAAGGATCTGGACCAGCTTGAGGAGCAGGAGCAGCAAAGTCAATAGCGACAAGCAAAGCGCAGATAGTAATAATAACAAGCTTGATTTGCATTTGAAAAAAAAAAAGTAAATCCAAATAACTGTTGTGTCCCTTTTTTGCAATAAATATTGTCCTTCTTTTATATTAAACAGAGCCATGTTGTCATGGCCGTTTACTATGGACTATAGGCACACTTTACTATTCTTGGATAGATGAATGTATTTATTTCTCTCTTTGTTGACCACTTTTTCATAAACGCATAAACTACAGGAAGCATATTGGCTGCACATATATCTGGCCCTGAATCAACTTTCCTTCACGCATTAATTTGCTTCGACTGACAAAACAGCTTTGGCGTAAGACAGAAAAACACATGTAAATACATGCCTTTGTACATTTAATCTAACTTGTTAGTATGTACTTAATTGAATAAACAAAACTTTTATTTAATGATACGAATAAGCGCAAAAAAAGACTAGCTGTCCGTTAGGAAATTTATGTTTAAAAAAGAAATCTAAGCTTAGTATGTTTAACACTGTCTTTGACTTGTCAAGTTTACTAATTCATAATGAATATAGCTTTGAAGGCTTACAAGAACCAGCAACAAAAAACAAGACAGCATTTTGCTGAACTGCCATAGCATTCTTTGTGGATGAGGATTGCTTTGACAACCTGACATAAATGCTTCAAAGAACATAATCAAGGTCGCCAATGGAATCCTTTGTGTATGTGGTAGGCCACATGCATTCCGTTGTCGTATCGAACACGGCTCTCCTCCTGGAGCTTAGACATTTACTCCTAGTAATCAATAATACTGCTATTCAAAATAAAAAGTTCTTACTGAATCCGTACGTATACTATTTGATGCGCCCTTTTTATGAGACTTGTGCTAAGCGGACAAGCTATAATGCTTACGGTAGTGACTTTGCAATGATTTTTGTGATACACTTTCCCCAGGTAGAGGAAGAGGAAGTTTGAGTCAGGCAATGCTGCCACGTCTCAGAGATATAAAGATATGATCGATTAGAAAGTAGCAATAAACTGATATGATCTGCACTATTCGTCAACTGATATGCAACTGTCAGCATAACTAAAAGAAAAAATCAGCAGTAACGGATACTCAATATATGCTGGGGAGAGGAAGATCTGTAGACGAAAATTGTGGTTGTAAAGTGCGCGAAAATTCTTTGTCAGGTGTACAGAAAACATTTCAAAATGCGCACAATTTGATATATTTTCTTTTTTTTTTTTTTTCTTTTTTAACTATTGTTTATGCAACAACCAACAAATCCTTTGTCGCTAGTCGATGCAAACTCTTTGCGCAGCGCTCAACGCGGTATAGATGATGTCAGATGACATAAAGTAGTGTTTTCTCATGTATCTTAACAGCCGCCATTATCAAAATGCTTCACTTGAATTCAGCAGAAGAACCATTAGTAGCAGATGAATCAGAGAATATTGTTTGGAAGGTTCTCATCTTTGATAAGTTTGGACAAGACGTGATTTCATCCATTTTAAGAGTCAACGATTTACGTGAAAACGGAGTAACGGTTCATATGTATGAGACTATTGTTTGCTTTATAAGCAGTCTTTTAACATTTAAAACAGGCTCATTAACCAAGAAAGATCAGCTTTACCTGACGTACCCGCCATATATTTCGTCGAACCTACCATAGAGAATATCAAAAAAATCTGTCAGGTAAGGGTGTGCAATGTCCAGATGGTGTTACTGTATTAACTTGTGTGTGAGTAGGATTTGAGTCGTAGCTTGTATGATTCCTATTATATTAATTTTTGCTCGGCAATACCTCGATCACTATTAGACGAATTTGCCACCATAACAACAACAAATAATACAGCCGAACTTGTTAGCCAGGTAGGATGCGAAAGAAATGCTTGTTGTCGTTTGTTCAACCAATAATAAATATAGGATAGGTCTACGATCAATATCTCAACTTCATCTGCACAAACCCCAACGTCTTTTCGCTTAGTCAACCTGATGCCTTTATCAGACTAAACAGCTCCAGTGCAACCGAAGCACAGATTGAGGAAACGATTGACAAGACAGTAAATGCACTCTTTTCAGTCATTGTGACCATGGGCACAATACCTATCATCCGCTGTCCTCGAGGAAACGCAGCAGAAATGGTCGCTCAAAAGCTTGATAGCAAACTGCGCGACCATGTGATGAATAGCAGAACCAATTTGTTTACCGAAAATAACAACAATACCTTACAGCGACCTGTACTTATTTTATTGGACAGAAGCATGGATTTGACTCCGATGTTGAGCCACTCATGGACTTATGAGGCACTTGTTCACGATGTGCTTTCTTTGAATCTCAATAGGATCACTCTTGAAGCAGAGGACGGTAAGAAGAGGAGCTATGATCTTGACACCAAGGACTTTTTTTGGACAAAAAATGCATCCAGTCCCTTCCCACAGGTAGCAGAAGACATTGATGTCGAATTGAACAAGTACAAGAAAGACGCGGCCGAGATCACGAGTATCAGCGGTGTGTCCTCGTTGGAAGATGTTGGTCAAATTGATATGTCGTCCAATACGAAGCTACTCAAGTCAGCTATCACAGCCTTACCCGAGTTGACAGCGAGAAAGGCGACATTGGACATGCACATGAATGTAGCTACCGCCTTGTTAAATGCTATAAAGGATAGACAGTTGGATAGCTTTTTCCAAATGGAAGAAAACATCACCAGACAAAGCAAGAGCATGTTATTAGAGACTATTCGCGATGCATCAAAGAAAAATCCAGAGGATAAGATGCGCTTGTTTTTGATCTATTATCTATCTACTCTGGAAGACATCCCTAAGGATGATATGGATGCTTACGAAAAGGCATTAAGTGAAGCTGGATGTGATTTGAGGCCACTAGATTATATCAAAAAGTAAAAAGTAAAGATGAAAGAATAAGGATAGTATGCTTACTTCCCCTTAATGTATATAGAGTACGTGCGCTTATGAGAATGACATCCATGATTGCACCATCTGGTCAAACTCAGACAGGTTTCTCTCAAAACGATCTTTTCCGTGGATTTAGCAGTATCGGAAATAAGGTAGACAATGCTGCTTTCAGCATCACGTACATTTTATTAAACCATTTTCAATAGCTGTCTGATCGACTGAAGGAAGGAGGATTAGGAGGAGGCTTTGAGAACTTGCTGTCAGGAGTAAAGAACTTGCTGCCTACTCGTAAAGAATTAGTTGTGAGTAGAATTGTTTCTGATATCATGTCGCCTCCTCCAAATGAAGCATCCAAAGCAAGCGACTACTTATACTTTGACCCAAAAGTCAGTAAAAATTCAAAGAATCCTCGTCAACACAAGATTGCCTTCCAAGAGGCAATTGTCTTTATTGTAGGAGGCGGAAACTATTTGGAATATCAGAATTTACAAGAACTCGCTACTGTAAGTTATTAAACTATTAAAAGGCAACTTACTGACACATAAAACAATTAGCAAAATAATAGTAAAAGAAAGATCATTTATGGATCAACAGAAATTCTCTCCCCACATCAATTCTTGAATCAATTGGCTACACTAGGACATAAGGAAGAATAAACTGTTCAGACTAAAGAGATGTGATTACGTCCCCCTTTCTTCCTTACGGAAATGAAGTGTTTAAGAAAAAAGCTTTTTTTTCTTCTTCCTGCATTGTTTCTTTTTCATCAGACAAGTTTTCAATATAAGATGAAGATCGTCTGTTCGATGAGTATGTTTAATTCGATTTGACTCAGTCTGTATTCATTCTTCTTATTTTATATAGACTTGATGAAAAATTCGTCTTTTTAGACAAAGAGAATAGCAACAACGCTAAAACCATCTTAAGAGAAGCTATCAAACTTCCTTCAGCTCCCATCACGAATGCTAGACAACAGTTAGTCAACAAACTAACAAGTTTTGTAGCCAGTCCGAGGCTGATGAGAAATGTAACAAGGATGTCCTCATCACATAAAGCAAAAATAAATCTGTAATGATTTATTGAATCATGCTTTAGAAGAACCAAAACCAGAGAATCCCATCATTTTTGCCATCTCGTCTTCTTCTGTATTCTCTGTTTTTTCTTCCTTCTTATGTTCTTTCTTTTGTTTCTTCTTTTCTCTTTTCTTTCTCTTTTCTTCCTCTTCCTGTTGCTTTAGTGCTGCCAATCTTTCATCAAGGTCTATTATACAACTGAGTTTATCATCTATAGTGCATATTCACTTATATTTACCATATTCTTCAGACTTTGGATTTTCCCGTTTTCTCTTTAGCATTGCCAAACGTTCTTTCACATCATCGACGCTCGCCTTTTCTACCTTTCTGGAAATACCTGCGTTTGCCAAATCTATCAAATGTATACTGTTTGATCAGCTTCTTTTTTGTTTTACATTGAATATTTAATTACGCTTTCTTCCGTTCAAGTGATCTATATATGTAACACTGTCCTTGATTGTAATATCACAGGCTTTACAATAGAATCCCGGTTGCTTTCTTGAATCGGTCGATTGAACAACTTGAACTTTGCCTACATTCTTTTCTAACTCTAAAGTCAGTGTGCGATGAGACAGTTTTTCCTTGTCTTCGTCAGTTTCCTCTTTCTTTTTGGGTTTTAGAGGTGGCAAGCCCATCTTTCGACGTTCTTCATTTTCTTCTGCTAATCGATCTCTTGCTTCACGAGCTCGTGCTTTCGCTGCGTATTCTTCCTTGTTCCACGATCTTCTAAAGTCTGTGTCGTTCTAAAATCAAGAGGATGCGTTTAGAGAATTTATTGTACAAAAGAGCTCTCTCTCATCATAACCTACAGCTTTACCAGAACCGTACGCACTCATAATTAATCTAAAGAAATAGTCACAAGTCTTTGAATTTCAAGGTGCACAAGTTTACTTGACATTCAGACAGCGACCTTTTAATATATATTTATGCTTTTGGTTTGGAAATGCAAAAAATTAGAAAAACGTAGTACGAGTAAATTTTGGTGCTTCCAAATGACAGTAGCAAAAGACTACTTAATGAAAATATGAGCTTTTTCATCCCTTTTCTCTCCACCAGTTTTACTGCTGTTAACTGATAAAAAAAAATATTCATTAATTATCAAACTTTAAGTATGTATTATCCTATAATTATCAAAAACAATTTACTAATAGAAATAAAAAGCTGTCTATAAAAAGCACAAAAGTCTCTGTTTCTAGTTGTTTTAAAATTCACTTTCATTGAATGATATTGTGAAAGTGTTAAATAGTGTAAAAATTAGATATAAAAGAAAGAATATTATAAGTTAATTTAGTTTATTAAATGGCTAAGTATAGAATGAAGAAACTAATAAATAGTAATGGTGGTAATTGATAACTGTACAAATAGGTTAAGAGGAGGGCATAGTTACATAGATTACATTTCAATGGCCAAATTGCGTATACAAACTTAAAAAGCATATTTTGGGTGCATAGAGTATAAAAAAAGGAATGGGCATAAGATTAATCAATATTACAAGCTTAATGCTAAAGGATAAGAGAGTATAGTTGGATGCAGTGGATATGACATGATCTAAAGTTAATGTTAACAATAGAGTTAAAAGTGGTTGATGTTTTAATTACTTGTTGATCTTCTTTATAATAAAAGTCGCTCTCTTGTTGTAATAAAAAAGGATGCTTGCTATTGCTATTATGACTATCATTGTTAAAGAAATAACTTGTTTTGTTCTCTGTAAATGATAATGGAACCGTCTGAATCCACTCAGCTGTATCCATATCTTTATTCACAATATCTATCCGACTTGTGTTGAACCTTTTTGCAGCTTTAGCCTGCTCATTATCAAATGTGAATTTGCATCTATCATCAGCAGGTTCAATAGGCCATGCGTTTAGTTGATCTACTGCATCAAAGCTGTTTGCCATTACTGGTGGTGAGTGTCCAAGGAAAGGTGTAGTCATGGTAGCAGAGGTTATGGATTCATTTACTGCGTTTTTGATGTCACTGCTATTACCTAATAAAGGCGCATCATATATGTTTTGATAACTCAGAGGAAGACTGCTCACCCACCAATCTTGATCGGCACTTGTTAGTTGAGCAGAATGGCATGCCAATTCATCAGAGGTAACAAAAGATGGCACCGAAAAGGCATGCTTGCTCTTGGCTTTCTCTTCAGTTACAAAAGACACGTTGTCATCCCACTGTTGTCCATGCGACCTATAATCAGTACAGCTATTCTTCTTGATGTCATCAGATGAATCCTTTCGGGCATTTGCATCAAGTGTGGGCGAATGAATAGAAAGCTGGGCCTGATCATAACTAGCAAGTGATTCTGCAAAAGATGATAAAGAAGACTGCGAGTGACTATAGACCATAGGAGTAGATAAGACTTCATCACTACTGACTGTAGCTGTAAAGTTTTCAAAAGTATTGAACAAGCCATCATTGCTCGTGTCATCAGACTGTTTGATGGCGCCTTGCTTCCTGTCCTGCTGCTGCTTACTCTTTGCTTTTGCTCGTCTGTTTTGAAACCATATTTGAACACCGCGAGGGCTCATCGACAAGAGCTGTGCTAATCGCTCTCTTGATTTCCCGTTGGGCTTTGGATTATCATTGAACGCCTTTTCTAATATCCTAGTCTGTTCGCGCGAAGTTCTTCTACGATGCTTCACTTCAAAAGGGTTATAAAAATTGGGAGTAAAGTTCGGTATGGTGCCCGAACTTCTCCGGTTTTCATAAAAGACACTGGTTACAGGCTGTCTATCCATAATTTGTATTGTATTGATGCACATTGACATGAGATTGTCGTAAAGTTAATTTCGTTGTATATCAAACCGCAATTGTTGATAACACAAATAGCTTTCGACTACTGCTTGATGAATAAAAGTAATGGGTGTCTTATGAATGGCTAAAAAAGCAAAAAAGGGAAAAAAAAATATAATACAAAACGATGATCAAGCGATGCTTTTATAGGAATTAAAAGCGTGCTAATCAGTTCAACTGTATAGGAATGTAGGGGCATACATGTTAATAAAAAAGGAAAAAGAAAGGGAGCATGTTAGGAGATAAGAAGTGACAATAAGGAAGGAATACAAGCAAATCACTTTTACTGATATTCATGTCATGATCTATTAAGAAAAACCCTGGAAAATATAAGGCAGAAACCTCTCTCTCTCTTTTTCTCTCATGCTGTATTGATATGTGGACAGTTTTTAAATGAAAGTGAACTATCTACATTTGATCATGTCAAAAGATCACACAGTTAGAACGTTGACAGTTATGATCTGACTGCAACTATTCACTCTGGTAATAGGGGTTAATGATCACTAGATAGATAATGAGGAAGAATTACGAGACGAATACAGAAAGAGAGAAAAGAGGGGTCAAAAAAAGGAGAATAAGTCAAAAGGGAAAAAAGTATATCAATTGAAAGTATTATTATCACTAAAACAAAGACCAAGGTTGATTTTGCAACTAGACGGTAGCGTGACATGTCTCATAAGACCCCCTAGTTTACCCCCTTTAAGAAAGGGCCCTTTTCAGTATATCCTATATTATATTGACTGATCATGCCATCTTATTTGGTAAAATAGTACCGTAAATGATCATACACGCTCACTTGATAGCCACAGCCATTGTCTTTGCGTCCATGTCGCAAAGTGATGAAAGTACATGCATTCAAAAAAAAAGTACGACTTCTAAAAATGCAGTGATGCATATGAAAAAAGTCAGCCATTGGTGTACTTGTCAATGCTGTTGAAAAGACTGGATAAATCAACAATTTATTATAATGATTGCATCTGTTGTATTCTCTTTTTAACATGCAATAGAAAGAAAAAAAGAATACTCTTTCATAACAAGCTTGTTTTGTTGAGGACTTGCAGGTTCTGAAGATTAATGTTGTAGTTTAGTTTAAACATATTCTCTTTCTAATGTCCCAATTGGGGTGCATAAATTGGTATATAAATTACTGAGCGCCCCGGACTAGATCATTTCACAAAAGGAAGGAAGGAATGGGTGCTAAAAATCCATTCTGGGATCAAATAAAGAATGGGAGAGGCTATAAAGAATCATAAAAGTTGAGTTGACCGTTCAGTTAGTCTTTGATTATAAAATCTCTGGTTGAGAGAGAGGCTTGCATAGAATTGTGGTTGGTCTAGCTCATGTGGAATAAATCATGTAATTAGCCATGAACAAGGTCTATGGTAAATCAATTCCACAGAAAATAAACGATTATGTTAGAAAAAATTCAAGAAATATGATATAGAGCCTGTTTTGCTTCAGATATACAGAGGTGATGATGCATACTAAGGCAGTTGACGGCAGTGGCGTCTGCACAGAGTGTGGAGGAGGGGAATGTCGAAGACAAGGCTTGGAAACACCAGCTGGCACTTGGAACTCTTGCTTTGTATCCATTTTCCCAGGTTCACATGTAGAAATTGTCCTTTTAATTGCTCTAAAGCCATGAGTATCTAATTCATTTACTGTGGGAAGCTTCATTTGCCACAGGGCAGTTTTGGGAAACCCTGCTTTGAAGCTGATCAAATGCAAAGTAATTATCAGCTGATTTACTGTTGAGAAAAAGGTTTATCAAATCATTATGCTTAAATCATTTATGGTTGTCACGCGCAACTGTTGGATCCAATCAAACTAATTAGGAATCAACTGTTAGAGAACAAGAGTCATTTATGAGGTACGGACATGATTGTCTATAGAAAGAATTTAATAATCAGAGGAGAAGAAGAGAGGAAAAGAGGAGGAAATCAGGCTAAAGAGAGGAAATTATGCAAGTTGCCCTTGAATCACTGAACTGTCGTTGTTTATAAATGACATTGATAGAGCTCTGTATTCTTTGTCTCGTACAGACAGCAATTCATGTCGATGTATGATTTGGCATCAGAAAAAGACTTGACAATAGCTATCAACGCTTGCTTAAAGGTCATTTTTTAAACAACTTCTAAATTCTTAAACATCTTCATGCTTGATAACAAAAACAGACATTGTCTCGCATTGTTTGACAGAGTATTATTTAATATATTTTACAAATTGTTTCTATGTTAATTGAACAATTTTTACAAACAAATCATTACATAATTTCATTTATCTTCGGGGAGGACCAGCACGACGCCAAGATGAAGCTTCATCTGCACGTTCGGAGCCACGCTCAGATCCGCGTTCAGGTCCACGCTCAGGTCCACGCTCAGGTCCACGATCGGAGCGACGAGCACCAGGAGGGACATATCTACCTCCAGCACCGCCAGGTGAGCCAGCAGAACGGTCACGGTTGAAGGAGGCAAATCTGTCTCCGGAAGGCGCACCTGAAGAAACGCCAGCACGAGGAGGAACATACTTGTCTCCGGAAGCAGCACGGGCGGGAGGAACATACTTATCTCCAGAGGAGCTGGAGCGACTAAAGGAACTGAACCTATCTCCAGAACCAGCAGTAGCAGCAGCAGCACGGGCGGGAGGAACATACTTGCCAGTTGTACGAGCACCAGGAATAGTCTTGGCCTTGGCAGCCTTTTCTTCTTGAAGTTTACGTTCAATTTCAGCTTCACGTTCGGCTTGCTTTCTAGCAATTTCATCGAGCTTTCTTTGACGTTCGGCTTCTTGTTCTCTTCTCTCCTTCTCGCGTGCTTCCTTCTCAGCCTTTTCACGTGCTTCCTTTTCAGCTCTTTCACGCTCTTCAGCTTCACGACGGCGTCTTTCTTCTTCTTCAGCTTCGCGCTGTTGACGGAGTTCGTCTATCTTTTCACGCCATAAAGCGATTCTTTCATTCTTTTCTTTTTCAATGGCTTCATTAGCGACTCTCTGTTTAGCTTCAACAGCCTGTCTACGTTGTTCTTCAAGCTTGCTCTTATAAGCTCTGTAATCACCAATGATTCGAGAGAAGCGAGCCTTTAATTTCATATTCTCTTCGTGTTGTTCCTTTGCAGTAGCCAATTTAGCCTTACGTGTTGCTTCATAGATAGCCTTATCTGCCTTTTGTTGTTTCTCATAGTCCTTTTCTAATAATGGAATTTCTTCCTTTCTTAATGCACGCTCAGTGTGATCAAGACGCTTGCTTATTTGCTTCAAGCGATCACTGAGCTCCTTTTGTTCGCTTTGAAGTCTGGATACCTTGAGGTTGAGCAGTGTCTTGACATCAGAGTTTTCAATTTCCTCAGGCTTCAATTGCAATCCAGTCTTGCTACTGATTTCTTCGGCAATACGCTTAGCTTGATCACGTTGAATTTCTTCTTGAATACGCTTCAAGCGTTCTTCTTCACGGCGTTTAGCTTCTTCTTCTAAACGTTTCTTTTCAGCCTCAGCCTTCTTGGCAGCGGCAGCAGCCTTTTCTTGAGCGGCCAATTTCTCCTTGCGAGCCAATTCGTTTTCAATGATTTCTTTACGACGTTCAATAATCAACTTGCGCTCTAAGGCTTGCTTGTGTTCTTCTTCGGCACCAGCCAAGGCACGTTGAACGACCTGTTGCTTAGCCTTTTCGGCCTCTTCCTTGACAGAAGGATCGACCATTTGAAGAGCAGCGTTCAAGCTGACACCCAGACGAGAGAGTTGTGTACGCATAAGATCAGCAGGAGAAGATTGCAGCTGAATACCTTCAGTCACTGTATCCTTGGGTGGAGCAAAGAGATCTGTTTCGAACACTAAGCTTTGTGATGCATGGTCAATACGAATGTTCAATTCTCCACGCTTGCAGCCGTTCATGATGAACTTTTCGATAGTGGCAGCATCGTAGTTGTAGGGGTCGGGGAAAGAAGCGAGGTTCAAGACAAAGTCCAATTTGACAGTGGTATAGACTTGAGAGAGTTGTTGTAAAAGACGTGTCAAAATGACTTGGTGAAGAGGACGGACGTATTTGACCAATTCGGGATCTTCAGAAAGCTTGGCCATGATAGGGTTGATCTTTTTGCAAATCGATAAGGGATGGAACTGAACTTCCAAGATGTTGTACAATTCGCGGATTTCAGGACGAACACGAGCAAGGATATTCTTGTGCAAGGCTTCCTTCAACAAACCTGTACGGGTAGGATGGCCGGAAAGACCCATGAGCATGGAGAGACGGTTCAGCTTTTGAACACGGTATTCGTCAGCCTCGACATAACCAGGACGAGTCTTGGTAGTGGTGATGATTGGGATAGCGAGGGCTGATAACAAGACGATGGAAGCCATGCGAGAGTGTTCGGCTTCAGTCAGGTTCTTGTTGAATGCACGTTCGATAGCACAGAATCTGTTCCAGGCTGCAGAGTGGAAAAGATAGTCTTCAGAGACCATGAAAATCTTGGTGAGTTTTTCATAATAGTTGGCCATCATGACTGGCTTAGGAGGTCTCTTGGAAGTGGTCAACAAGGTGTGAATGTCTTCAACTGATTTAAAAGCTTCTTGCCATAACTCGAGTTCAGCAGCTGCATTAAGTTGAGCAAAACGTGATTCAAGATATTGTTGAAGTGTTTCGGGGTCGTTCAAGTTCACAGCGTGAGGTTGATGAGAGTATTTAGCAACATTCAAAAAGTGGTTGCGAAGAATTTCACACAGACGACGGAATTCGGTCTTTCGGTCATAGGTCAAACAGAATTGGAAAGCTTTCAAGGTGACAGCGTTGTAAAGGGTTTCCAAACGAGAGTTGTTGCGCATAATGTCCAATACGGTGCGATAGGCTTCCCATAAAAACTTGAGCCAAGGTGTGACAACGGCACGGTCGGTTCTGTCCTTGCTTTGATCCCCAGAAACAGTGCTGAGCATGATGGATTCGGGTGTTTCTGAAGCTTCGAGATCATCTACGTCGACTGCAATCTTGTCGGCTTTGGCACGGGCTTCGGCTACTTTAGCCTCTGCAAGCTCGAGCATTCTGTTGATGATGGTCTATAGACAAGTTAGAATTTGAAGAATTATAGTGTATTCGTCATACCTCAATCGAGTTAACACTAGTGTTTTGAGCAATGTTACGGTATTGATGAAGGCCTTCCTTGACCATCTTTCCCTTCTTGAGCTCAACACAAAGCTCAACATACTTGAGCATAATGGGCTCCATGACTGTAATGGGATTACTGCGAGATCGTTTTGAAAGCACGACTTCATGGAGAGCTTGTAAAGCGGCTTCATCTTCGCCAACTGCTTGGAGCTCTATTCAAATCATGAGTACATCCATCCATCCATGCATCCATCCATCTATTCATTTCTACCTTCGACTCTCTTTAGCACGTTGTCCGACTTTACAGCATAGAATGGGGCCATTTTTACTGTTAAAGATGCGATAGAACCTGTCGTCAGGTATGATCCTTGAGGTTTTGTTTTCTGAGATTGAATTGCGTGTAACATTCACTCCCAACAGATGTTTAAGTTGGATCAACATATTGCAACAAAAATAAGGAGCTTTGTATAAGGAGATGCTTTCTGTAAGCCTAAAATAAAGAAAATGCAGACTTTCTTGATTCCTTGGATGCTTTCATTTTTATCTCTTTTTTCTCCTCTTTTTTTCAGTGACCACAATGTCAACTGGAACAACAACATGCAGTCATTTGGCAAGAGCAAAGAGTGCAGCCAGTCTGATAGACAAGATGAAACAAGAGCAGTCCAAGCTGGAAGAGCAATTGGCTATTGATTACATTAATAAGACCTTAAATCTATCTATTCAACCTGGAGAATTACAAAAAGAACTAAAGGATGGTGTTGTCTTGTGCAAGTAAGATCAAATCACCTACTGATTCTTTTAAAAGCTAATTTTTTTTTTTTCAAGCCTTGTTAATCAACTTAGACCAGGCACAATAAAAACTGTTGGGCAAAAGAAGGACTTTTCGTTCATTCAGGCAAGTATCGAAACAAGAATTCCCTTTTTGTGTGATTAACAATAGATTTTCCATAGATGGATAATATAACACGATTCTTACAAGGAGTTCGTCAGGTACACAAATACACAAAAACAAACACATAAAAACAGGAACTAGTGAAAAGAATAACGAGGAGTAACAGATGTTCAATAGCTTGGCATGAAGGACTCTCAGTTGTTTGAGACAACAGATCTATTCAGCGCTAAAGATATGTCATCTGTAAAGTAGTAATTGCTTACAGCTTTTATTTTCTGAATTGACTTGTATTACTAGGTTGTACATACCATATTATCCTTGGCAGAGTTATCTTTAAAATGGAATTCAGATGATGGAGACCCATCTTTGATGCTGACAATAGAGAATGATAAGGATGGTAAACTACAGGATGAAAGGATATGAAAATGACGCTAATAAAATCATTATAAGGAGACTCAAAAGAAGGGCCGGATCATCATGACGTACGAGGAATATTTAAAGAGGCAAAGGGTACCAGAAAGAAGTCATTGACAGTAAACGTTCATTCAGACGAAAATAACAAGGATGAAAAAAGTATGAAAATAACACCTGGCTGTTCGTTATCCTAACCTCTCCTAGCCCAATCCCCTTCGCCTACTACCTCAAATTGCGCACGTCCGCCGAAATCACCCTTGAGGAATGCTAAGTCAGCTAATTCAGTAGGGTCGTTAAAGGTAGCTAGCAGCAGTAGTCGATTCAAAGATCAAAAGAGACGCCCATCTGTACCTACGCTTTCTAGTTCTCCGTTTATAAAAGACGATGAAAGCAAGAGAGACTTTTTTACCAAGCCGTCAGATCTGCAAAAGAAAAGACAGGAGAGTGTAAAAAGCGCCATTTTCACAGAACCGACTCCGTCGATTGATTCAAGGCGTGAATCGACCATGGCAGAGGCAGAAGGAAAGCTTATTCTTACAAATGATCAAGATGAGACAATAACACAATATGTAATATATAATATACATGGGAAGAGTTGGCACTAATTGTGACTATAGCAACTGGGTAATTGTATAGGAAAGGGGCAGTTTGGAGCTGTTTACAGGTAATGAATAATAATAATAAGAAAGCTTTTCCCTGATATTTCCTAGAGCGCTTGATTTAGCAACAGGCGAGGTTGTAGCAGTAAAAAGAGTCAAATTAGAAGAAGAAGAGCTTTATCAAGAGATTATGGTATTTTTTTTTTTATTGTTATTATTATTATTATCTAACACTATTGTCCCCCTTTCAGAAAGAGGTGAATATCTTAAAGACGCTCTCGCATACCAACGTGATCAAGTATATTGGGTTTATTCGAAGTGAAGAATACATTAACATTGTCTTGGAGTAAATTTTAAGAAAAAACAAGCGTTCATTTACTCAACACGCAATTGTGTAGATATGCTGAAAATGGATCTTTAATGTCAACATTGAAAGCGTTTGGTGCATTTCCTGAAAAGTTGGTTGCTTCTTTTTGTATCAAGATCCTAAAGGGTTTAGAATATTTGCATGCAAATGATGTTGTCCATTGTGATCTAAAGGCAGCCAATATCCTCACCACCAAGACAGGAGATGTTAAACTGACCGATTTTGGTGTTTCTCTTAATCTAAAGATCAAAACAACAGAGAATGATACTGTTTCTGGAACTCCCAACTGGAGTAAGATAACACAAATAGAACTATTTTTTTATAACATCTTTTTTTCTTTTAGTGGCTCCTGAAGTGATTGAATTAAAAGGTGCAACAACCAAATCTGATATCTGGTCTCTTGGTTGTACATTGATCGAATTAGTGACGGGTAAGCCACCCTATAGCGACTTATTGGCCATGTCTGCCATGTTTCGTATCGTTGAGGATGACTACCCTCCTTTACCTGATCATATTTCTGAGGTAATGATAGCAATGAACTGTAGAAAATAGAAGGAGTAATAGTGTATTTTAGGATATGCGTAACTTTCTATTGCGCTGCTTTCAAAAGAATCCAGAAGAGAGAGCATCAAGTAAAGAATTACAACAGCACGAATGGATCATCAAGAATTTGAAAACCAAACAAAAGAGTATGTTTCTATATAGCTAGACAAAAGTGTATTGACCCCATGAGAGTAGATGTCTTAAATGGCAGTAATGACACAAGCTCGTGTCACCCAACAGAGGAAACTCAAGCAAACAAAGCCGCCAGTGTAACTACTGCATCAGAGCTTGAACAGTACTATTCACTCAATACAACAGCAATGATGCCAATGTTGGATAATAGTAATGATGATAATAATAGTCACAAGTTTGTAGAAACATCCTTTGGAAAAGGTATAAGGAAAATAATAGAAATGACAAGTGAACTCATGCTATTGTTTAAGCTGTAGAATGTAAAGTATGTAATCAATTAATAAATGATGGAACCATCTTTTGTGAAGGTAAATTACAGCTTCATATAATAATATTGCTTGTATACTAAATATAATTAAAAAAGTCTGCTCCTTGGTTTGCCATAAGGAATGTAAGAAAGATGCGTTTTCATGTCCTCCAAAAGTGAATGATCAGCAGCCTTCTTATGATGTAATATAACCAAATGTATAAAAATATACTGATTGCTAAGCAAAGTGTTATTATAGTGGATATTCTTGGCCAAGGTCTATAATACAAAGTCAAAGAGACAAAACGGAGTTAAAAGCAGCAATGGTACCATTAAAGAACGTGGTGGATATCATTCTTCTCCTTCCACTTTACGTAATCATCCAGCAGATACATTACGTAAAGACTCTCGAGGATCTATTCTTGAGTCAATAGAAGATGAAGTTACAGAAGGATCGAAATCAGAGAATGAAAAGAAGAAGCGTATCCTTAAGAAGGGGCAAGATGAACAGTGCATTATCACATAATATTTATAAATAAAAATAAATTAGTTCTCCGACCTTGTCTTATTTCATTAATTCTCTTTTCTTCTTTTTTTTTACTTCTTCTTTTTTATTTACTCAATTACCATCATCAATAAAACCATGGCCAAGTCAAAAGCAAAGCAATCACTTCCACTTCATAAAATCATTATGGTTGGTTCTGGTGGTGTCGGAAAATCAGCATTGACTCTACAGTACATGTATGGTGACTTTGTTGAAGAATATGATCCAACAAAAGCAGACTGTAAATAATAGAGAATGTATATGAAAAAAAAAGTCTAACATGTATCATATAGCTTATCGTAAAAAGGTTGTTTTGGATGGCCAAGAATGTCAAATTGATATTTTGGATACAGCAGGTCAAGAAGAATATGCAGCTGTAAGTTTATTATAAATGTTAAAGGGACAACTATTCTTATTTCAAATAGATTCGTGACAACTATTATAGGTCAGGAGAAGGTTTTCTTTGTGTGTTTTCTGTCTGTGAACAAGAATCTCTTGAACACACCAAAGAATTTCGTGATCAAATTTTGAGAGTTTTAGATGATGAAACAGTAAGATTAAGAATACACATTCCTATTGTATATACTTATCTCCTTTCTTTTATCTCCTATAACTATTATTAGGTACCATTTATTTTAGTTGGTAATAAGGTTGATTTGGCACATTTACGTAAAGTATCAGCCAGTGAAGCCAATGCATTAGCCAATGATTGGCATTGTTCTTATGTTGAAACATCAGCAAAGACTAGACAGAATGTAGAAGAAGTTTATACTATGCTCATGAGACAGATAAGAGATAGAAAAGCTAAACAACAACAAGAAAATAGCCCAGATAAAGATTCTTGTTGTATTATCCTTTAAAGTTCTTTTGTTTATTACTATTATTATTATTACTACTATCTTCATCTTAATAACATTTGAAAATATAAACAGATACACATACCCTTTCTTTATCTTTAGTGTCAAACTATAAATGACATAGCTTAAAAGAAAAGAAGGAATGGGAGAAGTTTATTTTATCTCTGTTTTATGATCTAACCATGAATATATAGTTGCATCACATTAAATATATCATACAAATATATACAATCTTTATCAATATAAACAACGTGATACTTCTTTATTTCATAACTATCAACATAACAATAAAGAAAAAGAAAAGACAGAGAAGACAAAGAGAGAAACAAGGAGAAGGAGAAGGAGGGAAAGAAGAAGGAAGGGGAGGGATGAATAAGTCAGAGGAATACGATACAATATGTATTATAGTAAAAAAAAAAAAAAGTCAACAACGCGCCTAATTGGCGGCTGAGAGTGTACTGCTTTTCAACATGCACACATTAGAACTTATCGCTACTGGTTCTTTTTTCTCTTTTCTTTTCATCCTTTTTCTCTCTCTCTTCTATATAGAAAAATGTCTTGGGAAAATAACACTGGAGACTTTGGCGCTTCTGAGCCCCAATCTTTGAACAACTCTTTTAATCCTGAAGAAGAACAAAAGAGACGAGCTTACAGAGATTTTAAATGGGCTTCTAATCGCTCCCGTTATGAATATAATGAAAATGCTGTGGATGAAAATGGTATGGCGCCTCGCGATGAGGCTCTTGAACAAGAACTCTTTGGAAGTGAAAGACAAGACGGTATTGACTTTTCCAAGTATGCCAAGATCCCTGTCAAGGTCGAAAGAGGTGCTGCTCCTCCTCCTATTAGAAGCGTAAGTATCTTTTTTTTTTGTTGTTATTCACAAAAAACAAACTTTTTTTGTTAGTTTGATGAGGCAGATCTTCATCCTGTCATGAAAGAAAATGTGAGATTGGCCAGATATACAAACCCTACTCCTGTTCAAGTAAGTAACAGAACAAGACCTTGTTTAAAGATAGAAAAAGAGAATGTTGATTTGTTTTATTATTAGACTTATTCCATTCCAATTGTTACAAGCGGAAAGGATTTGATGGCTTGTGCCCAGACTGGTACTCTTTTTTTTAGTGTGCTGCCGCATCCAATACTAACCTCTTTTTTTTTTGCTGTTGGTCAGGTTCCGGAAAAACTGCTGCTTTCTTGATTCCCACCTTGTCTGCTCTCTTTGGTAGAGCTAAAGAACTTCAAAAGCCACGTCCTGCTCCTTATGAAACACGTAGATATCAAGCTGAGCCACTCATTCTCATTATCTGCCCTACTCGTGAACTGTGTTCTCAAATCTTTGATGAGTGCAGAAAGGTAAATAAACAATACGTACGTGTGGTGTATGTCATTTATCATCAATCTTAGTTTACTTACAGAAGTTCTTTGAGACCTTGGTAAGTATTATTATTATTATTTATTTGTTCTGACAACATTTTGTTTTTAGTGCCGTTTATGGTGGTGCTGATACACTTGGTCAAATTCGTCAACTTGAAAGAGGTTGTGACATCTTGGCTGCTGCTCCTGGTCGCCTCATGGACTTTATTGAACGTGGCAAGATCAACTTGCAAAGAGTCAAGTACCTTATTCTTGATGAAGCCGATCGCATGTTGGATATGGGTTTCGAATCTATTATCCGTGCTATCGTTCAAAAGAAGGGCATGAACCCTGAACATCAAACCCTTCTTTACTCTGCTACCTTCCCCAGAGCTATCCGTGCTCTCGCTCGTGATTTCTTGCGTCCTGACTATCTCTTCTTGAAGGTCGGTCGTGTCGGTGGTACTTCCACTACTATTACCCAAAAGGTAGGTTTGCCGTTTATAGTAAATTATTCTCCTATTGATAGTCTATTGTAGGTCATGTATGTTCCTGAAGAGAGTAAGAGAGAAACTCTTCGCTCTTTGCTTGATAATCTTCCTCCCAGTCGTACTGTCATTTTTGTTGAAACCAAGCGAAGTGCTGACTCTTTGGATCAATACTTGTATGAACGTAACTTCCCCTCTACCTCTATTCACGGAGACCGTACCCAAATGGAAAGAGAAGACGCTCTCTTGGCTTTCAAGGCTGGTAAATGTCCTCTTTTGGTAGCCACTGCGGTTGCTGCTCGTGGCCTCGATATTCACGGCGTCATGCATGTTGTCAACTATGATATGCCTAACGACATGGATGAATACATTCACCGTATTGGTCGTACTGCCCGTGTCGGTAGATCTGGTTTGGCTACCTCCTTCTACAACGAAAGAAGTGAACATCTTGCACCTGAACTTACCAAATTGCTGAAGGAATGTCAACAAGAAATTCCTGATTTCTTACAACAATATGTCACCGATGATATGACCTTTGACGAAGATCTTGACGACACCCAAGTCGAAGTTCCTAGCTATGCCGGTCAAGAATACGTCCCTATGGAAAGAAACGTTCCTGGTGCACCTCAAGGCTTTAACAATGCTGAAGGTACCGGTGCTGCTGATGGAGCCTGGGCAGATGATGGTGGACAATCTGGTGACTGGACTTGTTCTAGCTGCAGTGCTTCCAACTTTGCTCGTCGTTCTGAATGCTTTAAATGCCATACTCCCAAGGAAGGTGGTGAAGGCGGCTTCGGTGGTAATGGCGGTGCTCGTGCTGGTGACTGGAACTGTCCTAGCTGTGAAGTAAGCAACTATGCACGTCGTACTGAATGCTTCAAGTGTGGTGCTAGAAGACCTGAAGGTGCTGGTGGTAGATTTGGTGGTGGTGAAAGACGTCCACCTCGTGCCAGACGTGATGGTGACTGGGACTGCTCTGGGTAAGATACATACTGTGAATGTGCAAAACAAATTTAACAATTTTGCTTTTCAATAGTTGTGGCGCTGTTAATTTTGCTTCCAGAGACTCATGCTTCAAGTGTCATGCTTCTAAGGAAGGTGGTGATTCATACAACAATGGTGACTCATACAATAATGGTGGCTATGACCAACCTGCTGAGTCTATTGATTGGAGCTCTTCTGCTGCTGCTGGCTGGGACTCTTCTGCTGCTACTGCTGGTTGGGATTCTTCCGCACCTGCTCAAGACAACAATACCGGTGGTTGGGGCGGTGCTTCATCCGCTCCTCAAGAACAACCTGCTGCTACTGGAGGCTGGGGATCAAGCGCTCCTGCCGAAGAACAATCTGCACCTGCTGCTGGCGGATGGGGTGCAAGCGCTCCCGCACCTGCTGCTAGTGGGTGGGGAGATGCCCCTGCTACTACTACTTCTGGTAGTGGATGGGGAGATGCTCCTGCTCAACCTAACTCCTTCGGATGGAACTAACTCACAAGCAAAACTGTAAATTTTTCCCGTCAGAAAATATGCTCAAAAGTTGCTGTTTATAATTATTTTTAATAAAGAAACTATAACCCAAGATGGTTTGTATAAAACGATCATGTCTCCTTTAAATATACAAAAAGCACCCTCAGGTTCTGTTATAAATAATGTTTATTCTGGCTTAAGATAATCTTCAAGTAATTTAATAGCGCTCTTTTCAATAAGCAACTTGTCATATGTTAGTAAGTCTAATACATTTGTTTCTTCAACATGAATAACTTCGCAGTTGGGAAGGTTGCGAGCTGCTAATTCCAAGTTTTGGTTGCAATCGTCAGTGACAATCAGCATTTTAGAGCCGTCATATGCGTTTTGAAGAATATGTGCCAAATCTCTAGTTTTATGGCTTTCGACATGTTGAAGAGAATCAACCACGATCAATTGATCCTGTGCGTACTTGGCACTTAGAGCAACTCGTAAACCTAAATCTTGAACTTTTCTAGGCAAATCCGTACTGTGATCTCTAGGCTTGGGTCCAAATGCGATACCACCACTTCTGAACTGAGGTGCTTTCCTATCGCCCACTCTTGCTTTACCACGTCCCTTTTGTGGTGCTGCCTTTTTACCGGTACCAGTGACTTCACCACGAGTTTTTGTTGAATGTGTACCTTGTCGCATCGCATCTCTTTGCCAAACGACAACACGGTGAAGAATATCTCTTCTGATGGGTGCACCAAAAACGTCCTTTTCCAAGTCGATTATTGAAATGGGTTCATTTGTCTTAAATTCTCGAAGAAAAGCTTGAAGTGGTGTTGAGAGAGCTGCTGATTTAAAAGAATTAGTTGAATCATACGAGTAAGCATTGTTCATAAACATGCCTTTAGGTGCAGTAGTTTCAGCAACAGAAGCAAATGCTCTATTTTGAATAATCTAGAATAAATAAATTCGTTATATAGATCTGTTGGTTGTTATATATATATAAATAGCTTACAGGCAGAGCACGAGTTGTTGCTCTAGAGAATGTGTTGAATAGAGACATTAGATTGACAAGAGAAGAAAAAAATTTCAAGGTACAATCGGGCAGTCTGGGGGGTATAGAGATCAAGTCACACACACTGAGAAGACGCTTTATTGTTTGAATATCCGCCATAAAGAACAGCACTTTATTATTACTCTAACTTTGGTTTCTTTTCTATAGCATCTTTAGCTGACTCCTTTGCCTTTCTCTTGACAAGATTTGACAGATCATTAACACTGGCTGCTTCAATAGGCTTATTTGAGGCATTTTCACCTGCTCCAAAGCCAAGTATTTGCTTCAACATGGCAGCTGCTTCCTTTTCTGTAGCTTGTTTCGTTGTCAATTCTTCAGCCTACAAAGAGGGAGGGCCTTTAGTATCAACAATAGCAAGAACAACAGTTCAGTTACCTTAAGATTCATATCCGATATGAGTTCTTGCATATCTTTTATCTCGTCTTTTGCTTTCTCTGTCGTATCCTCGGCGCTTTCCAGCTTGCTCAACCTCTTCTTCAACACATCAATTGCCTTTCTCAATTCAGGAATGGCTTTGTCTGATTTATCTGAAGAGAACTCCAATGCTAATGAATATTTATAATATGCTTCTGCTAATTCTCTATTGTCTTCTTCCAACCACTTTTCCTTGATTTCAATTGCTTTTTCATAGTCACTTAGAGATTGATCAAATTTCTCTGTAAAAGAGAGACAGTTAAGTAAAGTTTCGCGTATTGAAATGTATAGATTACCTGTTTCTAAAGAGACATCTGCCAAGCATAGGTGTACATCTGCTAATTTTAGTTGGGTTTCCTTATCTTCGCCCTTTTCAAAGATAAGACGAGCAACATCCAAAATATCCCATGCGGTCTCAAAGTCATCATCAGCTTGATCTCCATCTTCTTTGTCATCCTCATCTTCTTCCTCTTCTTCTTCCTCTTGTTTAAATTCAGGTATTGATTCCATCTGAATGAGAGGATTACTAGATCCTTCTAAATAAATTTAGAATCAAGACGCTTTCAAAATTCTAGTCCCTTTTCTACCTTCTGCCTGTTTAGTTTCGCGTTGTTGTTCTTCAACAGCAGCTGCATTAGCTTGAGCTGAGTGTCCTAGCACTGTGTTTTGTTGAATCGCATATTGAAGCAGTGCTTTACCGTACATAAAATAAGCATCACCATTTTCAGGTGCAAGATCACCATTAAGCTGATCACTACATATATTTAGTTTATGTATCTTTTGCCTTCAAGTCACCTACAGTAACTGACAAGCTTCTCCAAGCTTTGTTATACTGATTTCATATTTTTGATCATCGAATGCCTCTTTTCCTTCGTTCATAAGATTGTTTGCTTTATCCTTTGGATCTGACATTATCGCGTTTTTTAAAAAGAGAAAGGAAGAAAAAAGGACCTCAAAAATTTACAAGTCGCGAGATATTCTTTCTTTCGGGAAAGCAACTTTTTTTTTTAATTGGCAAGCATATAAATATATTGAGACTAAATATGTGTATGTGTGCTTTCTAGTCATGAGAGCTTCATTGTCAGTAACACAAGAAATTGAACTTGTTTTTTACACTTTATTCACACACTGATAGAAAAATAGTAATTTCAGACAACAAATGAGACAACAAGTAATAATAAAAGAGAGCCCATCAGAAGCAAAAGAATGAATAAAGAAATGATTAGTAAATTAGTTATTTACATTGATATTAAATGCTTATATTATAAAGAGGATTTATAAGAGAAAAAGAGAAGTCAAGATCAGACTATTTATATGAAATCTCTAACAATTTTTTCGATTACGTGTTATTTGAAGGTATTGACCACATTTATTTTTATGTGTCTCTTAAAAAGACAGAATTCATTGCCTTTTTAATAATAAGAGAAAAGGTTGATAGCCAACTAAAGTGTAGTTGTTATTGATCTTGTAATGTGTGCGAATAATTTCTGAAAACGGTGCTTATATAAACGTCAATTGAATCACTCGTCTTACGTAACAAGCATTGACTGCATCATATTCTGACTTACTGGTACCAATACTCTGTCAGTATCAATGGGATTCGTTATTACGTAAAATAAATGCCACGTATTGTGATCATGTTTAAAGTAAGCACATTTAATGTGTTACAGTTAAAGATCAACTCGCGTCATGGTGAATAAAATAAAGAGACCCAGCTAGCGTTTGGGTAGAGATAGATATATATGTTGTATATAATGACAGAAAAATCGATATTCATGACCACTGAAATGACCTGAACCCTGACTGTGTCCAAATGTTAAAGCAGATACTTTCTGTTACTAAGCAACCAATCAAATTAGTCATTTCAATCTAATTGATTTATAATTCCAAAAAGATTTAAAGTTCTATCTTTTTCTTTGACTTTATTCTTAAACTCAATGGCAATCAACACAGACATCAACCCAGATCGCCCTCTTATCGTTGGCTCTTCTTCTCCTGAAATACCATATCCTATACCTGTCTCTGGTACAGTTGTCAAGGGCTTTGGCCGTGGCTCTAAAGAACTGGGTATTCCTACAGGTATTTCATACATATACTTTTCGCTTTTTTTCGGGGATAAAGACTCATGGTACTGTGAATAGCTAATATGAGTGACGAAGCATTAGAAGCAATGTTTGCAGAGTGTGATACAGGCGTTTATTACGGTTGGGCACAGGTTGGTGAAGTAAAAAGTACTGTATACCCTATGGTCATGAGCTTAGGCTGGAATCCTTATTATCAAAATGAAAGAAAATCAGCGGTAAATGACGCAAAAATAAGAGAAGGAGAACTATTGATCTAATATATTCATCCTTCATTAGGAAGTGCATATCATTCATCAATTTGACAAAGACTTTTATGGTGAAGCCATTAGGATTATTGTAGCAGGTTATATTCGTCCAGAACAAAATTATCCTTCACTAGGTAAAAACGAATATATAAAGAAATGGAAAAATGGCTGATAGATGTTTTCTTTAGATGCACTTATTAGAGATATCAAGACAGATATTGAGGTTGCCAAGCACTCACTAAAACGCGAGGCTTACAGCAACCTGCGTAACCACCCATTGTTCAACAGCAACTAGACTAGACTCGTCATTTTTTTTAAAAAAAGAAATAATAAAACATCATAGAAGAATGATTCACATGTGTACATGTCTTACTCTCTTTTGTGCCGTATTTGCGGGGTCATTTTACCTTTTGCCCCGAGTTGTATCGAGTATAAATTACGAATGAAACAATTCCCGCGCTTTCTCTCTCTTTTTTTTTTTTTTTTTCTTTATTTTGCATAAATGTGGACATCTGTAGCAAAAACATTAGGCTTAACCTCACCCGAGGAATATGTCAAGCCTCGTTTATCGATTGGCAATGCTGTGGCTCATCAAGAGTTTTCGATCGGTCATTTCAAGATACAAGTGGATCCTGAAGCAATAGCATTAGTCGTGAAGAATGGAAACGGACGTGTTATCTGGAAATGTAAATGTTGTTTGTGTAGCAAATAGGATTCCACGTTTTTGTTCCAAAAATAATAACACTTATTAGCAATACACAACGAACCCTTTCTGTCGTCCACAATTGGCACAGACGATATAATCACTGAAGGAAATGGTGTATTCAAGATTACGGAGCGTAACGAACGTTCAACTCGCATACAGACCATCACAAAGGTCGAAAAGACAGACAAAGACACTATAAAAATATATGGCGGGCTTGGAGCCAAGTTAGTGCTACCAACCCACATGGATTATGTCTTTACATTTAAGGAAATCAGTCATCGGCAGTTGCAGTTTGATGTCCAAGTCACGCACAGAGACCCTTCCATGAAGGATTTTCGTCGTCTTATTCTCACGTACGAGTCAAGACCAGAGGAACACTTTTATGGCTTTGGCGAGCAGTTTTCCTATGTGTCATTGAAGGGACAGAAAGTGCCAATACTAGTCAGGTAATTAAGCAAAACAAGCTCCAACAGTACTTTCTATTCACTCGGCATTATTTTTCCGTCTCTATTGTAGAGAGCAAGGTGACGGGACTGGCTCAGCACCGGTAAGTTTGTTTTTTGGGGGATAATAAAAAAAAATTTCTTTTGACAATGACGACAATAGGCTGCAACCATCAAAGAAACTGCATTCAACATGTTTGGAGGCAATACGGATAATTTTGCTACCTATGCCTCTATACCACAATATATCACAAGCGATGTCCGATGTTTATTTATGGAAAACTCAGAATATATGAGCTTTGACCTTACTGAGTTAGATCGCGTATCTATTCGTATAGAATCAGATCATGTCAAAGGTAAGTTTTGTTAAAATAGAGGGAATATAACGATTCACAGAGATGCTCTATATGTGTTAAAGGACGTATATTGGATGGTAAAACGATGCTTGACCTTTTAACCGACTATACTTTGTTCACTGGAAGGATGCTTCACTTGCCCGACTGGACCTCCGAGGGCTTCATCGCTGGCATTCAAGGAGGCAAGGAAAAAGTGAAAGATGTGATCAAGAGATTGAAAGAGAAAGAGATTCCATTGGCAGCAGTCTGTATAGAGGATTGGACAGGACAGCGTACACTGCATGCCGGCCGCGGCATACAGTTCTCTCGTCAATGGTGGAATTGGGAAAGCGATGATGAGCAGTACCCTGGCTGGGACAGTTTTGTCTATGAATTAGAGAGCGACAATGTGCGTGTGTTGTCATATGTCAACCCTTGTCTGTCAAACATTAGTGGAAAAGGCAAATTTAAAAAGAATTTATATGCTGAAGCTCAGGATAAAGAATATCTCGTCAAAAGCACACAAACCAGTTCTTCTGATGCCAAGGCCTTGTCTTTGAAATTTGGATTAAACCTGGAAGCTGGTCTTTTGGATCTGACAAATCCTGATGCACGCGATTGGTTCAAAAATATCTTGAAGGAGCAAGTATGGAGTAGCGGTATCTCTGGTAAAGCATTGATGTCAATTGAGCAATACAGGCTTATTAACCGTTTCTTTATTTATAGGCATGATGGTTGATTTTGGAGAGCAGTTACCATACAACCCTAGTACGGTTATTCTACATTCAAATGAACCTTCATCCAGCTATCACAACCACTATCCTGAAGATTGGGCTGCATTACATCATGAATTGATAAAAGAACTTGGAAAGGAAGAGGATAGTTTATGCTTCTTTAGATCTGGATATCTACACTCACCACAATACATGAACCTGTTTTGGGCTGGACGTCAAAATGTCACCTGGGATCAGCATCAAGGAATCAAAAGCGCGGTAAGTTGAATATACACTTGGAGAGGAAAAGAGTAGTTAAACGTAGGTACACTCATCATCTCTAGGTCATTGGCATGCTCTCTGGTGGCTTCTCTGGATTTTCTGTGACACACTGCGATGTTGGTGGATACAACACAGTTGTCAATAATATTCCAGGATTCAAAATGCTGCGATCAAAGGAATTGCTGCTCAGATGGATGGAGCTTGCCGCATTTACTGCAGTATTTAGAACAACTGAAGGAATCATACCTTCTATGAATTCTCAGTTTTATGATAATGATGGTAAGTCACAATAGAATATATAAATGATATAGATGCTAATACCAATACTTGTCAGATACGTATGCTCATCTAGCTCATACCATCAAGCTGTTCACAACAATTAAAGATTACAGAAAGCAAGTACTAAAGGAAGCGTATGAGAAAGGGTGGCCATTGATGCGCCATCCTGTACTCTACTATCCCAATGATAAAACCGCACGAGAACTCACCTATCAGGAATTCCTACTGGGAAGCTCTCTACTGGTAGCTCCTGTTCTAAGTCCATCTGCATCCTATGTGAAAGTTTATTTCCCCAAGGACGCTCAAGATGTGCTCTGGCGTCACATTTGGACTGGAAAATACTATCCTGGTGATGGTACCTATAAAGCTATTGATGCTCCTCTTGGTCAGCCTGCTGTTTTTGTTAAAGAACCGCGAGACGATGATGGACTATTGAATGACTTGCTGAATTATGCAACAACTTACTATCAACAAAAGGCTCGTCCACCTGCTAATAAATAAATAGTTTTTTTTTTTCTTTAATGTGTGCTTAAGTTTTTCTCGGATATTAGTCAAATCAGGTTTACTTTTTTATTATTATGCTTAATGAATTACAAATAATACATGTATATATATATATATGTGTGTGTACGAATGCAAGCTCCCCGGCCCAAGTTTACAGAATGAAGATGTATACTTTTTAAAAGAAAGGCACCTTAATAAAAGTGTTTGTTTCATTATAAAGCATAGCCATGAGCACATAAAAGGCTGTAAGACTCAGGCAGAACGAGAACCAACCACTGGCTTTGGTCAAGGCGATATTACCACTGAGTGAACCGGCTGCACTGAGTACCAATGAAAGTAAAGCAAAACCCAAGATCATTCGAACCAAGATAGGTTGACGGAAGGTACCGATGAAGAAAATAAGAGCGGCGATAGCATAAGTAAGCTCGATAAGGCCCAAACACTGTTCCAGCTGACCAGCAGCGGCAGCAGCAGCTAAGAACCCGCTTCCAGGGACAAACATGATACCTAATGTAAGGAAGAAGCTTGCATAGGTCGTGAAGGCGACGGCAGCAAAGATGTTCTTGTGTATGATCTCGATAACAGCGGCTATGAACTGACCGATAGCACCATAGCCAAATGCAATACCAACAGCAACTTGAGGAACGTTGGTCAAGATACCTGTATTGAAGATGCCAAGTACAAAAGAGCAAAGACCAAATGCTGCAAAGCCAATAGCAGGTCCAATCATCGTTTTTTGATACTCGGCCAACTCGGTCGTTGGTGGTGGGGCATAACGGGATGGCTTTGGTGAAGACTCTTGATGCTTCAAATCAGCTTTTTCAATATCAGTATTAGACATGGTTTAAGAAGAAAAAATAAAAAGAAGCAATTATTTGAATTATTTCAACAAATTGTACACTTTATATATGTAACATGTTGACTCTAGCATTCCATGCACTTTCTCCAATACTGTTACTATGGTGATACATCATTTAATCAGAACTACAGTACACAATTGCCTTATAGAACATATTTGGAAATTCTGTTTGTATCACTTTAATTGAGAAGGTTCCACAGCAAAAGCATGAATGAGACTTTTCCCAAATTGTATGCTTATATTTTTGATTTATATCGAATATGATTGTTCTATAATCAAACAAGTATAGCCGCAGAATAATTGCTTCAGTTTGATACAAAAGGGGATGTCTTTTTATAGAATCGTACACATACATGTATCACTCTTCTAATTCTTCAAATCAAATAGATCTCGATGTCTTACCGTTAATACCGAACTATTCCCACGTACAACTTTAAACGAATGGTATGATAAAACAGCGCTAATGGTTAGTCCTAATTAAGGAAACAAAATACATTGATCTGATTGCAAATGATAACGGCTGTTTTGACACTCTTTTTGGAATTTATTAGAAATCTTGTATAGTTCAAAGCAAGAAGTTTATAATTGTCCTTGCACCCAAAAAAAAAAAGAGAGACTACCAGTGCTGTACCAAAAGCATGTTGAAATTCCTTTGGATCATAATGCAATTTATAAACCCGCTTCAAACCTCTCAAGAACCGGAATAATAAAGAAAAGGACTGTTTTTTTTTGTTTTGTTTTTTTTCTTCTTATTCACATTGCACCTTCAATAAGAATCCTCAGCACTTTCTTAAAAACTTTGCGTTAGCACATGAACAATAACACCATTACTGCGCTTACTATCAACTGCTCATTTTGCCGTTACGCCTTTACTAGTTGATCCAGCATATGGTACTTGCCAAACATGCAGATAACAAGTTGCGGCTTCACAACGTAAACGTCGAACTCAACGAGGCGAAGGAAACGGTGTCTCTACTATGCCTAGAGGCAGATCCTGTCGACCATGTCCCTGCTGCTTTTATCGCGCAAATAGGTATCAGTCCAGATACAGCTCTTGCCTGACCCCACCTGAATACTTGAAGGACTTGCTTAGAAGCATAGATTCCCAAGGAAGGCACTTTAATGACAGCATAAAGTCCAAAGGACATAGAACAGGGGTAACAAGTGTGTTATACAGAGCATTAAAACGGAGAGAAAGGCAAGGTGATGCTATAGTTGTAGCAGTCGACGAACTCAGAACGTCAAAGATAAAGCATTATTCTCTAAATTTTGATTTTCCTACTAAACTACCTATAGATATGCAACTCTTGTGACAAGATGTCGTTTACAACTGCTTTTCTGGGCCTCCATAGTATCCTTTGTGGATGTGGTAGACTATAATGAACTTTGTCGCCGTATCAAACACAATTCTCCTAGTGGTGTTTAGATATTTACCACTAGTAACAATAATGTTCAACGGAACGATATGTTAGTAAAAGCTAGGAAGTACTTTCTAGCTTTTTATTTATAGCAACAGCTTCTCCAACAAAAAGGCGCTGCAAGATATCCTTCGCGCTTTGGTGTTGCCTCTTTCGCTAGACAGCACGCGCAAGTAGGCACTGCTGTCTACAGAAGCATCCAGAGTATGTACGTTCCCGGGAGAAAACTGTAATTTATAGTACATCACTTCGAAGACCAAGCGGAAACACTGTTCAAACCGTCGTTACTACAATGTAACTTAAAAAACATTCCTACAAGACACATTGAACAAACATTTCAATAAATTACCTTAAAAAGTAAACTGTTACACATGATATCATTGAGCATCACGTGTTTCTATACACAATCATTTATACCTCTTACTTCAATCGATCATAGCTCGAGCTACAGACGACGATATACTTCGCTGCAAACACCATTATGTTCAAGAATGAAAGGAGCATCCTGTGGATGCGATAAGTGAATTTCGAGCTGTGACTTAATGCCAACAAACTTTCTAATTGTTTTGCTAGTTATCCAGGTATTAATAATAACAAATACAGCCTAATGGAATAGAAATGCGTTTATTGATGTAAAATTTATTGCTTCAATGAGTTAAAATGCTTTTGGAGACTTGGGCGGTTCTTGATTGCTTCAACAAAGGCTGCAAGGTGAGGATGTTTTTGAGAGTCGACCTTGGCTTGGTTATCATCATCAAGTTGATGGAAAATAAGGAAGTCAGCATAGGTGATTCTTTCACCCAATAAATAAGGGCCGGAAGATTTGGAAAGCATTTGTTCAACAGTATCAAGAGTCTGGGGGAAAGTAGTTTCAGCATAAACCTTTTTATCTTCATCACTACCACGGAAGAGAGTCGTAGCCCATCTAGAAGTCCAGTCACCAGCAAAGTCAGCATAGGCGTCCAAGAGGTGTTCCTCATCGTCATTTTCGCCCAAGTATTTGCCGAGCTTCTTGGCAAGGAATCTCATTGCAGGAACCGTCTTTGCATAGTGTTTACCATTGATGGTGATGTATGGCATAGTAGGGCCAGGAATACCTTCCTTGATAAGCTCTGCCTTCTTTTCTTTCCATTGATCAGCGGTTAATCTGACATACTCGTAATCAACACCAGCATCTTCCAAAAGCAATCTGACGGGCTCACCACGTCCCATGGTCACTATTTCGGTTATTGCGTTAGATGACTCAATATTATGTGATAAGATTACGCCATCATATACTTACAGCTGTCTTTGACTTTGCTGAAATAGTAGAGCTTAATATCTTTGAGATCGGAGGCGGTCATTTTAAGTTGTGAATATAAAGTATGTTGATAGAAAAGAAATAACTATTCAGTCCTCTTTTATATATCTTTTTGTTCCCAGGTATAAGTTTTTTCTTGGAAATTTCCTTGATTAATAATAATACTCTCTAAACATAGAACACCGTCTGCTTATAAATCAATGCGCATTCATTTCCCTCCCCTTTTCGTGTAACAAAGCTATCTATGGCTTAGATCAGTTATGGCAGACCAAGCATATACCCCTTGAAGAATACAGTGTCTCTGATTTGATGTATAAATGAATAAGTTAAATAGGATGTTTCTATAGTAATTACCAAGATAAATTGATGAGAGCTGAATTTTCTAGAAAATAATTAAAATTAAATTAAAGGATTCAAAATTGGGGCTTGAACAGGGCGTAAGATTAATAATCAAGCGCAGAAATACACAAATGATCAACTATGAAATTATTCCCAACCGTGTGTGCGTGTCCCTAAATGGACTTAAACTAACATTAGTATAGATCAATTAAAAGCCCCTTTGACGCGTAAAAAGACTAGACATTTATTTACATTATGCAAAACTACTTTTTTTTTTCTTATGCTCGTTGAAGCCTTCTCTTGACAAAGCCTTTCACGTTCTCATGGCCACTATTTATATACACATGAGTAAATGAAGAGATCATCATATTATATATATATACTTACGCTTCAGAAATAGCCATTGTTCGTTTCTGATTATTGGACCAGAGCAGTACACCCAAATCCCGTGCATATTTTTCAGCTGCATCAAAGTCTGCTTGCATATTAAATTCGTGATATAAATAAGCTAAATACGTGTATTAGTCTAGATATAACTTTAATGATATGACATCTTACATGCTGTTGGTTTTAATCTATTTCTTTCCATTTCCCATAATCTAATCTGATCTACAACTGTCAAAGGTAGCACAGGTGTCTTTCCATAAAAATCAGTTTATTGTGTTTTTGTAAAGCCTATCAACTTACCTTTTTTCTCATTTGTGGATGGGCGTGCGATTGTAGATAATAAATAATCTAAAGTAAGTTAATGATGATATCACACACTTGTCTTTTATTCTTTTTACTTGTTCTGCCGTAATTCCTTTCATTAATGCATTTCGAATGCTATCTCGAGTGATCACGCCTGTGACCATGTTTTTAAACCGTGCATGAAGCTGAACAAATAAATTCAAAACGGCAATCTGAAGTGGTGAATCTAAATGGTTGTTAATATATACATGTTTCGCATCGTATAAACTGTCAATATACCTGTATAGGCATAAAGTTTATAATTTGTTTCTAAAATGATAAATCCTTGATCATCACCACCATCAGCCGTTTGATCCACGTTTGTTTGTGCTAAATGATTGTATTTGACAGTGGCAGCAGCTAAAGCTGATTTCCCAGACGTTAGTGTGGTGGCTAGTCTGGTTGGATAGTATCTTTTGGAGTGTTTCTAAATCACAACTATTAGCTACACAACCTACGTGTGTACATGTTTGCTCAACCAACATTCTTACCTTTCTTTGGTATACAATGCCATAGTCACGTAAATCCTCCAGCATTTGTAGTTGTGTTTGTGTTAAAGTATCAACTGAATAATTCTATTCATAGAGTTGGTTAAAAACAAAAAGAAAGCAACGCGTCTGTCAGTTACTTCGCCTAGTTCTAATGATCCAAGTTGAAAAAAAAAGTTGAGCACTTCTACTAGATCCATTTGAAGCACCTGAAAGAAATTTGTTTAGGCATGTATCCATACACTAAACTTTGTATACACGTACCTCTGCCATATCCAAATACTGTAGCAAAAACGCCCACACTTGTGTATTCACATCCTGTAGCAGAAACTGGAAGCCCTTGTTTGTGATTTGCAGTTGACCGCCGTTATCCGAGCTAAAACACGTAATCAGTGGCCTATATCTCTCTCTTTCATAGACTGTCCCTACCTTTCCTGCATCAATTTACTGCGCTCTAATAGATTTAACACGCCTCGGCTAGGCTTCTTGGTTAAGGAGGTACCGACCATATAATGAAGAATAGCCTCCCATTGTGTAGTCGCATAGTGATCTAAGAAGTTGATGTCTACAGGATGTTTATCTGGTGTTGGACACGGTAATCCAAATGATTGTTGTGTGCCTCTAGTAAAAAATTAGACACAGTTTTCTCCAAGGTTTTTCCTGCACGCCAATTTACCCTCCAGTGAGTGCGTTTTGAAACTGACGTCTAAAGGTATCATTCATTATTAAAACTTGATCTTTCTGCTCAATAATACGAAGACTGGCTAGTTTCTGTAATGCCTCTACTAATTTTCTACAAAAAAGAATGTTTTTGGTTGGTTCTACGCATGTACATTGTATTTCTTATTTACTTTTCTCCTTCTCTATTGACCCAAGAATGAATATCACTGATAGAAATAGGCATTTGTACATATAGTAGTGACATGACTAGATGTCTTCCAACACTTGGTAGTAATCTAGAAGACGAACATGTTCAGCTACACTCTCTTTTTTTCTCAAGTATTCTAACCTAAAAATTGCTAAACATGTAGCTGGCTTTTCAAATAAGCGCATGAATGTAATTGTCGGTAGAGTTTCCAAGTACTCATATATGCTTGTTTTAAAATTATCTACAGACATTGACATTAATTAAAAAAAAAAGAAGAATGAATCTATAAAAAATACAGAAAGGAAAGCCTATTTAAGCACCGCTGGTCTTCTACAAGTTTATTCCATAACCAAGCTTCAAAAGAGTCTCTGTATATGGGTGACAAAGTGTCATAAATCTAGGGCAACATTAGGACCGTCTCTCATTGGTTAATACCATTACACTCTGCTAAAGAACATATTTAAAGCGCTGGGCGGCTCTGAATGGTTTACAAGAAGCCTTATCAAAATGCTGTCTATTATTAGACAACGACTATTTTAAAGCAACAAAGTCATTTACATATATTTAAAACGTAATCAAATGAAGCATATCAACCTATTCGTATTTGCTATTTTATCATTCATAGAAAAAGATTCACATATAACAAGTATGGCAAGTCGTTTGGCATTCGAGTAACTAATGAATTTATCATCTCAAAGAACATAAAATAACCCTTGGAATTTCAGCAACACGTGCGTGTATCTCAAGAGACACAGGAGAAAGTGATTCTACTGTTTTGTATTACAATGATATGGCGTCTTCAATTAGGGTATCAGTAACGTATATAGGAAAGACTTCAAAATTGTCTTTTGCAAGCATTAGCAAGATAACCTCCTAATATAATGATTGACATGGTCATTCATATCAGACAGCTTAATAAGATCAGACAAAATCAGCAGGGATTAAAAAAAAGTTTTTTTCTTTTATAAAATATTATTTGAAGAGCTTATGATGGCATTCCAAACCCTCCTTCCGTCAATTGTGACATCTTTGTGAAGCCAAAAAGAAATGTTTATGAGTCATTGTAGGGTACTCTGATATTTAGCTCTGTTGAATGGGGCTATTGAATCATACACATAAAGGGTAAAAAGTTTGAAGGACAATAGGTTTAGAGAACACCTTCATATTTAAGGTAACCTTTGGGGTGTTAGTTATTATGAACACAAAAAAAAAGACATATATAAAAGAACATATCAATCGAATAATGAGCGCGTCTTGGAATTAAATTAACTCTAACTCATCTAGTAAAAATCATGGATAAAATGATACCATTAACTTGAGGATAAAAATGGTGATTATCATTTCCCACGCTTTGAGGCTGGCAAAGCAAGATGATAAAAAGCGTTCCAAGAGTAACACAGACTTATCGCAAATAAAAAACAAGGCAAGACTAAACAAGACTAAATTAGCGTCTAAGACCATTAATACTGAACATTAAATAGGCCTAAAAGTTAAAAAGCATATGAATTCATTTGCATAAATGTTTATTTGCAGAGAATGGTAAAGTCCGGAAAAAATTGAAAAATTTACTAAAAAAAGACATGTTAATATGCGGGGTAAGCAAACTATGATGAAATAGACAAGGTAAACCCTTCTCCCAGTGTTTTTCTGTCTGTTTCTGAATGATAATGCCTGGGAAAGTTGACATTGATCTCCCCTTTTTCCATTTAGTTTCCCGCATGTACTCATCAAACCCCTCTTCTTTTCCCTTCTTTTACTTTTTGACACACTATGAACAAAGAAACAGCATATTATAAAATGAACCAGGGTGATCTAAAGGCTAATAAAACCGATTTACAAGCTGTCATTTCAAAATACCAGTCGGATCCTGAGCTATTAAAGCTTATTTTGATTAGCAAAGTTGAAGAAGATAAACGACGAACAGAAGAAGCTAGACTGAGATCGAAAGAGATTGATTTATACCTAAGCCAACGTTATCATTATCCTTATAGGAGAATCATACCTAATGAGATAATACATAAGAATAGCAACATTAGGTAATTCTGCATAATAGTAAAAAGATGATGGTCTCTTTCTCATGTGATATTAGAAGAAAAAGGTCTATACAAGCTATTAGTAAAGTGATCGAAACCCATGAGTTTCCATTCGACGACGGGTTCTTTTGGAAAACGAATGGAAACACGCTACAAAAAAGAACTGGACTTAAAAGTATTTACTTTAAATGTGCCAGTAAGGTAGGGTAACTATGGTCGGATGAATTCGGATACCATGGTGACTAGTTCCGTACCCATATGAAATTCATACCATTCTTTATTTTAGGATTGTCCTGTCAATAAGACGGTTATAGAACAAGAAAATGGGAAATATATGATAAAATATAGAGGCCAACATGTATCAGGGTGTAATAAAATAGAACACGTCAAAGATGTGTAAATGATTTACTCTTTTTTTTTGAATTACAAAAAAGGAAATGGAGAGACAAATAACATGCATCGAAGTGAACCCACGCTATGTATTTAAACCCTCCCTCGATTTTTGCATCTCTTTTCCTTTCTATCTTTTAACATGTCTTCGCCCATTATTCTCACTAGATTTACTGGATCTACTCTAGAGCCCTCTAGTGAGCCAATTATACTCTATGAATCCCATCTCTATCATAATAAACAACCTACTCGTATCCAAATCGTACCTACTCGATGCACTCCTCCATTGAAGCGTGACAATAAACCACCACCCATCGTTATTCCTGAATTCAAGTTTGATGATAAATATATAGATGATAATGAATTCTCTGCTTGGTCTTATGAAGAAGATGATGATGATACAGCTACCACCACTACATCAGATACCCTACCCATCTAGTTCTCACGTCCTTCATGTACTACTCTCCCATCCCATTCATTGTACATAATAAATCACATCTCTTTATTTTTTGCGTTCAAAGTAAGGTGAACTGTTCATCAATCCAATGCTGGTATCCATAACCCATTCTCCAATGTTGAGATATTTAGTCACATACTTTTTAATTTCTTCATGCTCTATTTGGCTAGTGGCTGGTCTATATTAATTATTATTTCATCAGTTGCCCTAGTTTCTCTCTCTCTTTTTATTTGCTGCGACTTACTCTAAACCAGTGTTTCTTTTGATACCTGCAAGCACAGTTGAGACAAGTACTGCATCTGCTGTAAAATGAAATATTCTTCCCAACATGGTCAATTAATGATGTCTGTATGCTCTTGATTGAGTCAATGTCAGTAACAAAAAATATAAAGAAAGAAAGGAGGAAATAAAAAAACCAGTGTGTGTGTGCTACTTTTTTTTGGTCCAAAAAAAACACAGAATTATCACTCAGTTAAAAACCATTCTGGCAATGAATCAACAATGTGAAATGAACATAACTAGCTTTTTGTTTAGAAGCTTCTCTTTCTCTTTTACAAACTTTTGTGTGAGAGCAGTGTACATTCCTATTTCGGCTATGACACGGGTTCTTGAGTGGTTTTAAAAAGCTACAAATAAGGTACTTTAGTATCGTAAAGAAGGATCAGTTACGGCTCAATTGGCAATTACTCAATACTGACCGAGACTTGTACTTGGGAAGTTGAAAAAATGACCATTTTGGCATCTGTTTGGAATTGGGAACAAAGAAAAGAACCATATGATTTCAGCTACAATCCTCTCCGTCCCCTAGCTTCATCCCTTTGTTGAGAACGAAATAGTAGCAAGAAAATTATTTTTCTATTTTTTTTTTTTTAATAAAGTACCGTGATCTACGCATAAAATATTGAAAAAATGGCGACTTCCTCTCCCCTTCTGACGTGTCCTATGATCAAAGTCGTGGAAAGGTATTACAAGCTGATAACCATTTAGTTTTGTGAAAGGTTTCCGAAATGGGCAAATGTAGCGTCTGCATGAGAAGTTATTTGTTCAATTAGTGAAAGAATAATAATGATCAAGACATGACGCTGCATAACTCATTAAAGACTCTATTTAGTTTATTATTTAGACATTTATTTACTGTTATCTAATACTAGATTAAAACATGTATGTAATACATCAATTAGATTGTTTTTCCTTTCCCTCTTTCTTTCTCAAAGAAAACAAAGGACACCTGAGATTATGGTGAACGTGTTACTACATGACGACTCAAAGTACAATAGAAAAGAACGGAATGAGAATAATAATAAAAAGCGAATGAATTAAAAAAAAAGGGGAGAAAAGAACAAGTAGGTATATGTATTGACACAACACCTACAGCTCCTTTGCTTTTCTGCCCATTTTTGATGCTTGCTGGTCTTCATAAAGGTTTATTTGGCTTAATGAGGGACATGAAATCAGTCTTTTTTAGCGCTCGGCGCACAGTACTGTCATTTTCAGTAATGTTCGAGTTATCCTTATAGCCCCTCTGTATGTCCTATATGCTTTGTACAGAAGCAGTAAGTGGAAACATAGGGTGCTCTGGGAAAGTCAAAAGCTCTTACTGTATTTGACAATGGGATATTTGGTAAAAAGCATCGTCAAGCTCAAAGGTCTACGTCGTGATGCTACGGGTATTCCGTGGCGATGTTCGAAAAGAGAAGCTGCTGGAGATTTTATGGTTGTACCAATTGATGAATTCAAAACTTCCAAGATTTACAGCTGGTGTGGTACTAAATTTCTGGGAGAAAGTCGCTCGTGTCAAAGGCCACAGTATACTTGTCTGCAAAACATGTAATACATTTTGGTAATATTATGACAACTTCGCTTTCTGTTTGGAAAGGTAATGGTAGGCTCAGAGTTTACTCTAAATCGCCGTAGTAAAGCACGACTCCCCTTTTGGGTTTAGGTTCATTTTGCGGGAGGAGCGGAAGACGATTGACAACCCCGCCCTTATAGAAAAAAGAAATACCCAGACACTGTGTGTAATGAACTTCTTAGGTAAGCTATCCTATTTCAAAAACAGTACAAAAAGCAGGCTTAGTGAGTGTGGTTTGTAGGTATGCAACCGACAATTGTATAATGCTCAATTGCCTGAGACTTTGGAACAGAGATAGGGCTGCTCTTTTTGATTTTAAGCATATTATGATAGAGCTGATATCAACTAGGACCCGGCTATCGCGATTTACACGAGGCTACTCTAATCTTACTACCTCTTCTAGGAAGAAAAAAGAGATACTTCAACAACAACAGCAAATAAAGAAAAATAAATAATCCACCTAATAGATACAAAAGCAGTCTGATACAGGTAAATATTTGATGTGATTCTTTTTTTTGAAAATGTCTAAAGAGAACCTTGGTGCCTTTTTTCATTGCTCTCACTTTCCCAAAAAAAAATGGATGACCGTCCATATTTTAATTTGCCTAATCGTCTAATTTTAGAGTAGACAGGCACAGCATTATTTTGTATAACAAGTCATTCTTGAATAAGGAATTCCTGTTGTTCAGTTACTACTTTGTTACTCATGGTAACCCCATTGTATTAACTTACGTTGTTGTTACTGTTTCATGGCTAAAATTAGAAACAATAAATTTCTTACATAATCGATTCTTTTAGTATACATTTTAATGTGCCAGATTTTGAAAGATGTTCCTCTCCAAGGCACATGGTTGCAATGCTTGTAAAATAAAGCACCTAGGTTCATGTTCAAATGATCCTTTATCTTCCACATACTTAGGCACATTCTAAAACAAATCAGGAAGGGATGTATTTTTACATTCATAAATGAAATAAAATGAAATTGGGTTACACACATATTTACAATCTTGCAGATTACATTATATCCAGGATATTATCAAGATTAATTGGTCATCCTTTGAGGTTTACTACAACTCCTATTGTTGAGTCAATATAATGCAAATGGTTGTATTACTAATGTAACAACAATAGAGCCCTTTTAGAGTAGATGACATGTGCAGAAAGTGTACGACGAGCGTGACAGAACGTAAAATTGGATTGCTGGCCATGTAACCTGCTGCTAATAAGAACGAATGCTTATCTTAGGCTGATCGTTTATCCAGTGCCATGAATACTCTCTCTTTATGTATAATCCATAGTTCCCAATTAATTGATGCCTTGATGCGTAAGTTTATGCAAGCTGTGGCTTTGATAAGCCGAACCTGTCTTTTTTTATTTTCTTTTTTTCTTTTTTTCTACAAGTAAAACGAATAATGGCGAGAAAGCACATTAATGAACCGATAGAAAGTGAATCTGAACAAGAGGAATACGATCAGAGTGAACAAGAATATGATGAAAGTGAGGAAGAAGAGTTTGACGAGAATGAGCAAAGTGAAACTGAGAATGTAATTGGATTTAAAGTAATCTTTAATGTAAGACTAATGCTTTCATTCAGGAAGAAGAAAACGAAAGTGAAATAGAAGACGATGAGAATGATAGAGCGGCTAAAATAGCAAAAATGAAAAGAGGTAAATTTGAGTGCTTCCATGATCTTTTTTTAAGACGATAATATTAGATCTTGCTCATGTATCATTTGAACAACTTGCGGAAATCAACAATAAAATGGGAATCAATGATACATTAGAAAAGAAGAAAGTGTCTAAAGCACAGATCTTGAAGGATCTCGAAGGCGCAGTGAGTCAACTTAAGAAGAAGGATAGAAGATTAAAAAAGAGCGACCAAGAGATGAAAAGAGAAAGCAAACACAGGTTTGATCTAATAACAATGAAAAAAAAGAAATTCGAACAATAGGAGGGAACTAATAAAACAATAGACCCATGGAGATGTCATCCAAAAGGGCTGTCACTCGACTCAGAACGGTTGTTCCTTTACAAGCAGAGGTAAACTTTAACATTTTCTCTGGGAGAGATTTATTTATACAATGGGATAAAATAGAAACGACGCGACCCAAGATTTGATAAACTTTCTGGTCACTTCAACCAAGATTTATTTGAAAAATCATACGGTTTTTTAGAGGAGTATCGTAAATCTGAAATAGACATGCTTAAGGATCAAATCAAGAAGGAACGAGACCCAGAAACGGCAGAGAACTTAAAAATGATGTTGACTAAAATGGTAAAAAAAAAAATCCGGTTTCTTCGTTTTACACTGAGGCCAATTAATTCCTATAATTGTTCATTTAACAGGTGTCTTCGGAGAAAACAAAAGAAGATCGAAAGAGAAAACAAGAATTGATTCGACAGAGAAAGAAGCAGGAAGCTGAATTAGTGAAACAAGGGAAAAAGCCTTACTTCCTCAAGAGATGTAAGTTTATTCATCTTTTTATTCTTTCTATATTGACATCGAAACAATAGCCGAGAAACGTAAGCTTGAGTTGATGGATAGATACCAACGATTGGGAGATAAGGCGGTCGACCGTATCTTAGAGAAACGCCGTAAGAAGAACTCAAGCAAGGATAAGAAGAAGCTACCGTTCAAAAGGAGATCGGCCGCGGAGTAATTACAACAACAAAATGAGATTTACACAAATTCAATTAATTATATTGTACAAATTGAATAAAACTATTTTTGTAAATAAATCTTTGGCAGCAAATCGCGATATATAAAAACCCTGCCTCCATTGTTCGTGTTTTCTCTCTTCACACATTAGCAATGCGTAATCTTTTATTCATTCTCATTGCACTCTGTGTGCTCTTTACTTACACTGCATCTGCTGCTTCTCACACCAAGGGACACTCCAAGCATAAGAGTGTCGCTCATCATCACAATAAGCATTCTCCCAAGAAACATCATACACCTGCCCATCATTCTACTGGAAAGAAGAAGAAGACTACCAAGAAAGTTACCAAGAAGACCTCCAAGAAGGGCTCCAAGAAAGGCTCCAAGAAATCCACTACCAAGAAGACGCCTACCACTCATGCTCACCAAAAGGCTTACCCTAAGCACAAGATAGTTGCTTATGTGCTTGACTGGGATACCCCCAAGAACATCGTATGGAACAAGTTAGATCACATTGTCTATGCCTTTGCTGAACCCAATGTCAAGGGTGACCTCAAGAACTTTGATGGCAACAACTTGAAGAAACGTATGTTACACATCGATCGCGATACAATTTAAAAGGCTGACTAACCCCTTTCTCTAGTTGTTAATGAAGCTCATAAGCACAATGTTGGTGTCAGTATCAGTGTTGCTGGGTAAGTTACAGTTGTTTTAAGCAAAACACAAACTAACCCTGTATGATAGCTGGTCCGGATCCATCCACATGAGTTCTCTCGTTGCTGATGCTAACCGCGAAACCTTTGCTAGCAAAATTGTTGCCTTAGTTGACAAGTATAATCTCGATGGTGTCAACTTGGATTGGGGTAAGTTTTTTTTTTGGATGATTAAAGAAGACTTTGTCTGACACGCTCCTTTTTTTCATAGAATTCCCCAATAGCCCTGACAGCATTGCTTGCAGTGAAAGAAACCCCATGGATACCGCCAACTATCTTGCTCTCTTCCAAGCATTGCGCAAGAAGCTTGATGCAAAATACCCCAAGATCCACAAGGCTCTCACTGTTGCTGCTCCTGTTGGTCCCTTCAATGATGAAAATGGCCGTGGTATCAGACGCTTGGATCCTGCCTGGGCCACCACTGTTGATTACTTCTACCTCATGTCCTATGAATATAACGGTTCCTGGAACAGTGTTGCTGCTCCTAATGCTGCCATCCGTGGTTCTTCTCATGGTTGGGGTGTTGATACCACCGTTGGTTTCTGGGCCAACGCAGGTATTCCCAAGAACAAGATGCATATCGGTATTACCTTCTACGGTAAGGCTCTCAAGACTGCTCAACCCATCACCGAAACTTCTGGTATGTATGTCAAGCTTGACGGCCATATTCCTATCCAAGGTGATAAGCACGATGAATTGGCCGCCGATCCTTGCCCTGGTGCTAAGCCTGGCTACACTGGTGAATTCCAATACAGATCTATCGTTGCTCAAGGTATTCAACAAAACAAGAATGGTTGGAAGTCCTACTGGGATGAACAATCTCAAACTCCCTATGCCTTCCATGCTGCTGACTCCAAGTTTTTGACCTTTGAAAACCCCAAGTCTATCCAGGCCAAGATGGAATATGCTAAGTCTGAAGGTCTTGCTGGTTGCATGATTTGGTCTCTTGAAATGGATGATCCCAAGCACAGCCTGTTGAATGCTGTCCAAAGCGCTAGACATTAAGCATATGCTAGATCCTACTCTTTTACCTTTTACTGTTTAATTTCTTAAATAAACTTGCAGATTTATAATTTATGCAGACTATTTAATATTCTTTAATATGCAACAAGTTTATTGTTTGGGTAAATAAATAAATTACGGTCGTAAGAAGGAATTAAACTGATTCGGTAATATCTAAAGGTGTCCAGTCACCACCAAAATCAAGAATAAGACGACCCTTTTCGTTTATTGTGGCCAGACCTTTGGCTTCATAAGAAGAAGGGCCTCGTATATCTCTTTCTGCATTCACACGAGCCAAGCGGTATTCCCTTGCGAGCTCACGTCTAGCGCTACAGCTTGCGTCCTTTTCAGCCGATTTAATCTTTGTCCATTGGTTTGTCTCTGCCTCGTATGTTTCAATCATGGACAAATATTCTTGATAAGCAGGTGTTGACGGCTTATCAAGTGTGCCTGGAGAAACAGGATCCACTTTGGTGGCTTCGTCTTTTGTCTTTTTATCCTTTTCGCCAGAAATATTGCCTGGAAGAGCCGAAATATCAACATACTGTGTCAATTCGTTCACGTCCTTTGTAAAATGAATCTTGCTAGCGACTACAGGATCCAAAAGAGGTGTGATCAGAGACCAGACAGTTGAAAAAACCCAAGGTGCCTTATGGATCAAGCAAGATCCTAGTGTCTCTGGATAATAAGCCTCAAAGCATGTAACGAGGAACTTGACAAAATCAAAGTCCTATAGCAGAGTTAATATAATCGACGTTACACTTTGTTCATCGCCTCTTTAACCATCAAGAGACCATGCTTATACACATACCATATTTTTTAATGTAAATCCGTCCATATTGAAAACGATGCAAGCTGCTTCCACAGGTTGATGCACTATCATTCGAGAAGTCTCCATAACGTAAATTGTCAAAAGCTTGATCACTTCACTCGGTTGATCTTCTTTTCTGTGTAGATTGACATTGATGAAACTACAGTTGACATTAGATTCAATCCACACAGAGTTTCAAAATGATATTTTACCAGATGCCACGATCAGCTTTGTCAGGTCCACCCAAATAAGCCTTACCAGAATTAAGCTGAGTGATGAAGCAATCACCAAGATCAGGTTGTAACTTATTCAATTCATCACGCATTCCATTTTCACCAAGAGCAACGATATCATCTACACGCATATGCAAACGCCATCGGAGTGTATTGGTGATCATGTTGTAGGCAGCATCTATATCCCACTTTCGAGCACGCAGGAATCGAAGGACAACTGCGTCCGGATTGTCTGTGGCCACCATATTCCAAAAGGTAGCTCGAAGCTGTGTACCGGGAATCAAGGGCAGTGCCTTTTCAAGAGGTAAGCTCATCCAAGAAGGATCGGTTGTGGTGCCAAGAAAAACATCTGTACTCTTTTCTTCGGTTGCAGCCTTTTTACCAAACCAGCCCGTCTTCTTGACAGAAGGAGCCTTTTCTGTCTTTGGTTCTGGTTTATACTCTGTGCCTTTTTGTTTGAACAGTTCGAATAGACGACTCCACATGGCTTTGAGCATATCTGTTTGAGCACCTGTTAGGTTTTCAACGTGGCCAGGCAAGGCATCTGTTGTTGTTGGCGCTGTGGGTGTAGCAAGCGCAGTGGCTGTAGCAGCAGGAGACATGATAAAAAGAATAACAAAGAGAAAAAAAAAAGCGAGAGAGAAAGGAAAAAAATTAAAGTTTAAATATAAAAGCTCTGTTCAAACAATGAAGGAAAAAATAGTCCTGAAATTGCACAAACAACGTGTGTGATACAGAATTAGGATTTTTAGGCTGAGTGGCAGCAAAGTGTGGAAACCACTGCATATCTTTTTTGAATAAACTCTTTGTTGCTATGACTACTAGGAGCCACTAGATCATCCTTTTTGTGTGTATGTGTGCTTTATTTTTATCTCTGCAAACATCATCATACACATATTCAGGTGTTAAAAGTTCTGATTTAAGAGCGCTCTTTTGTTCAACTAAGCATACTCAGATTTGTACCTTCACATAATGTTTCCCACCCAAGATAAATGAGTTATCATTTGATAACAAGTTTTGTGGGAACGTCTCGTTTTTTTTTTGAAAATCGTACTAAAGCATAATTAACCCCAATTCCTACAAGACTAACTCTGAAAACTAAATACCTATGTCATTTAGCAGAAAAGGGTTAAGAAAGTATAGCTGCAACTTGTATTTGAGAACAAACAGATAACCCTGGGTGGTATTATAAGTTATATAACCAGAATCTGCCATGCATATCATTATTCATTCTACAATTTATGTCTCATTGAAATACAATACGCTTCTTTAGTTGCATAAATATCCCCCACCTTTTACCAAGAAAATTATAGCATTACTATTTGTACAACGTAACGTTTATGGTTAATGTGCCATGACTAAAGTATATTCTGACAGAGTAAGAAGGCAAAGCATGATACATGTGAGAACATCAATTTCAGCTTGACATATTATGTGCATAAGAGATGGCCAAGATCTCGTGATGCTCATTAAAGCATTATCTATAATTGGATGATTAAAACATACTAATTGCAAAAAGTACTATTGTTATGTATGTGAGAAAAAGAACTTTGCTATATTCAAAAGAGAAAGAGAGAAAAACGAACAATTTAAACAAAACAATAGTTTTTTATTTCATAAACACATTGGTACAAACATATTTCTAATCTCTAGTTTTTTTTTTTGTTTTTTTTTTTTACTGAGCAAGGGCAACAGCAACACTGTAAGCACCACTATGGCTGATTGATACGCTCACTGATTTAATTCCAGCGGCTCCAGCGGCTTCCTTGGCTTTACCGGTCAAGACAACTTCGGGAGCACCAACTTCATTGGACTTGATCTCAATTTCGTTCAAGGGGGCACCAGCTCCTGATGAGGCGATGTTGCCATAAGATGAGATAGCCTTAAAGACAGCTTCCTTGGCAGACCAGCGACCTGTGAAGCTAGCTTGAGGATCAGGGCGAGAGTTACAGTATTCAATTTCAGCAGGAGTAAAGTTGCGTTCAATGAAAGTAGCGTTTTCAACATTGAAAGCGTTGGTCAATTCAACGTCTACACCAACACCCTTCTTGCCAGCTTGTTGCTCGGTAAGGGAAGAAAGAATGTTCTTGGTAACAGTTGCGTCACCAATAGAGGGAGTAGCACGGCTAGCAGACTTGTTGGTAAAGTGCCATGATTTCTTTTCCTTGGAGTACTCAGTACGGGCGCTAGGGTTCAAGTAGACAGAGGATTCAAGTTCAGCACTGTAAGGAGCTTCAGTCTTTACTTGAACAAAGTCAGCAACACCGGTGATAGAGTCATGAAGGTAGCGGTAGGCCTTGGCATAACGTTGAGCGTTCTTAGCCCTGTATTCATTGTATTGAGATTCTTCCAATGAAGCGAGAACATAGTCAGGATGAATAATCAAGATTTCACCACCAGCTTGACCGAAACCGAAAGACTTGAGAAGACCAGCCTTTAAGCCATCAGTTTGAATAGAGCGAGAAGGATAAAGGATGTATTCGAAGTCCTTCATGACAACATCGACATTATCAGCATTGCGGTTACCAGGGATAAGACCACTGAGCAAGCATTGGATCATACCGTTAGCCATCCAAGAAGCAGCAGGGCCCTTGGGGTGACCAGTCAAGTACTTTTGAGTAATAGCCAAAAGAGCATTACCCTTAGTACGGCCAAGGTGTTTCAATTGAGTGTTGAGCACACGTGATTCGTTCTTATCGTTAGCCTTGGTAGATGTACCATGGAATGAGGCAACACCAATGTCATCAATAGTTAAACCATAGACAGCAAGGGCACCACGGAGAGGAGCAATGCTTGGGTCGTTCTTGTAGAATTGATGGTTGTAAGTGCTCAAGGCTTCCTTTTCTTGACGCTTAGCTTCACGATGGATAAACGTAGTTCTTTCTTCAATCCATGATTCTTCTTCTTCAGGAGCTAATTCACCAGAAGCCTTCAATTCTTCTAATTCCTCACGCAACAAGGCGTATTCGCTTTCAACCCAGGCCTTGATCTGAGCACGACGAGCCTTGATTTGTCTAGCACGGTAGTTGAAGTTCAACAAGGGGCTTGCTCTCTTGCCAGAGCTTTCACGGGCAGTGGTCAAGATACCAGCACCAGGAGCAGGAACGGAACGTCCTTCCTTATCAGTAGCAGTGTTACTAAGAGCAACAATACCGTAGATAGGACAGCCAATTTCGATAGCAGTGGCTGCTGACATGAGAATATGGTTACCAGAACCGTGAGCTTCCATGAAACCGTTTCTGGTGGTAGTAGTAGGACGAGACATTTCAGCAGGAGTGCGACCATGTTCGAGTTCATCAACAGCGTTAGATGTAGCCTTCATGTTGGCGAATTCATAGCTTGATTCTTCAGTGATGTCTTCAGTAGCACCAGCAATCATGATCTTGGCTTTACCAGTGAGCAAGGACTCACAAGCCAATTCAATAGAGACAGCAGATGTGGCACATGCATTGACAGGAGTCTTGATAGGACCAGATGAAGAGAGCAACAACATGTTGATCCAGGCAGGCATGGTATTGATGAAGGATTCTTGAAGAATGTCCTTTTGAACAGGCTTGTCAAGAAGACGATCACGGAAGAGACCTCTTTGAGCAAGCTGACCACCAACGCCAGAACCAGTAGTATTACCGACTTCAGAAACGTGGACATACTTGAAGAATTCATAAGGATCGGTGATACCAGCAGAGACAAAGGCTTCAACAGTGGAAACAATGTTGAACAAAGTAACAGGATCAACTTGTTCAACAATGTCCTTAGGAACACCGTAGCGGGCAGCATCCCAACCAGTAGGAATTTGACCTGCAACAAGACGGTCGAAACGAAGAGCCTTGGGAACATACAATGTGGCACCCTTACGTAAGATGACACACCAATCGCCATTGGCAGTTTCGTATACATCAGCCTTATCACCTTGTTGATGCTTGAAATGCTCAGCTTCTTCCTTGGAGCATTCAAAAGGCTCAAGGTCATGATCAACAACAATTTCTTGCATGAGCATCTTCTTTTCAGGGTTGTAGCCATGCATGACTTCGGATTCTATTGTTGAATGTTAGCCAATGATGTACATTTGCAAAATAATAAACAACTTACCAATGAAACGAATACCGCTGTGTTCGAGGATCTTCTTTTCATACTTGCTCTTGATATCCTTATCTTCGACAGGCTCACCAGTCTTAGCGTCCAACCAACCGGAGTAGAACTTACCATTCTTCAAGTTACCGTTGTGGTGCTTAATGTAGCCCATGATCCAGGCCATTTCAATGCAACCTTCAAGAGAGAACTCACCATAGGCTTCCATTTCCCAACGGGTTCTGGCGTTACCCCAAGGTGAAACTTCACCGAAACCAGTGACAACGATCACTTGTTCAAGATCAAGCATACCCTTAAGATGGCTAAGGTGCTTCAAGGATTCATATGGCTTAAGCTTAGGGAAGTCAAACTTCATGTTGGCTCGAGGAGTGATCTTGTGAGGCTTGTGCTTGCGTTCGGCTTCTTCACCAAAGACGACCTTGAAGTCAAGTGCATTCTCGGCATCAATAGCTCTACGAATTTCAGCAGTTTCACGAATTTCCTTACGGAGCTTCATGTTGACTTCTTGCAAGTTGTGAACAAATTGAAGACCACCGTTAAGATCAGCCCAAACAGGTTCAGTTTGACAGAGTTCAACAACAGAAGGATGCATGAGACCAAGAATGTTGAAAGACATTTCGACAGTGGAGAAGGTTCTGGTGCCGAGAGATTCAATGCCTTCAGCAACCATGTTGTTGGCGCTCATCAGACCAGTACCACGAGTCCAACCGATGACGGCACCGGCAATAAGCAAGTATTGAGACCAGCTTTCAGAGTACCAACGGTTGAACAAGGTTTCAAGTGAGATCTTGGATTCACCATAGAGACCATCAGCACCAAAAGTACCGTGGTTAGGAGACAAGGGAAGAATGACTTGAGCAGGACGAGTGTCAGATCCAATCTTCTGCTTGTGCGTCTTGACATTACCAAGCATGCGGAGAAGGTTAGTCAACATGATACGGTGAGCGAGTTCGGACTTGGAGTCAATGGAATCGATCTCACGACCATTTTCAGGGATAGCAGCGAAGGGAATGATAAAGTCGAGATCCCAGTTAAGTCCCTTAGGATCATAGATGTAATTGACTAAAGCATCAACGTCCAACTTGGAACCTTGGTTGAAAGGTACAACAACAAGTTCAGATCCTTTAGAACCATAAGTTTCATAAATGGATTGGAAGTACTTGGTGACCTGAGGACTGAAACGGGAAGTAGTAACAATGACCTTGGCGCCACCGGCAACAAGACCCTTCAAGACTTCAGAACCAATAGAGTCCTTACCAGCACCGGTCAAAAGAACACACTTGTCAACAAAGGTGATACCCTTATCAGCAATTTCGCGCAACACGTCAAGGTAAGAAGAAGTTAATTCATTGCTGAATTCCCATCCACTTGGCTCACTAGGGTTCTTCTTCTTGAGATGCAAGAAGGGCATACGACCAACACCATGTTGGGCCTTGAGACGTTCAGAAAGCTCGGTCATTTGAGAACCAGCAACCATGTCTCTGACATAATCAGCCAACTTGCGGCAGCCAGGACGAGGAACTTCAGCGTAGTTAATGTCACCTTTCTCAGTGACAGTAGTCTTGGGACCAGTAGGGAAGCCAACGTCCTTGTAGACAGGGTTTTCAGCGAGCACATCAACGCAGTTTTCAATCAAAGCTTGACCGAATTCCTTGGCGAGTCTGTAAGTTTCACCCTTGTCAGTTGCACACTTTTCGACATTGTAACGCATGAAATCCAACAATTGAGGGTAAGCACGGTTCATGACACGGATACACTTGGCAGTGATCTCACGGTCAACGACAGCAAGTTTACCAAAGATAATGTCGTACCACATCTCAAGAGCATCTTGACGAGCCCAGTTCCAGTGAGAGTCATAACGACGAGCCTTGAGAGCAGAGAAGACAGGCTTGATGCCTTCAGCATAGATATCACCATGTTCGGCCAACCACAAGTCAAGTTCAGCTTGCAATTTAGCGGTGGTGGTCTTTTCTTGTTCGTACTTCTTGGCGCCTTCACGCAGATCCTTTTGAAGGTACTTGGCGTACAAGTTGAGCTGTTGGTAAATCAAGGCATCTTGCTTAGCCTTCAAAGCGTCTAATTCTTCGCTGCTGATAACAGCAGTAGCGGCACCGGCGGCACCAGCAGAACCTGAACCAGGTGCAGAGAGAGTGATACCGGCCTTCTTAGCATAAGCCTGGGCAACACTATCCAACCAAGCCTTAGCTTCAGCTTCAGATCCAAGACGAGAAGCAGGTTCCATGGTAATGGCAACCAAGAGGGCGCCATCGGTACGACCGCTTCCAAGACCATAAGAGTTGGAAAGGTAAGTCTTTGCAGAGTTCAAGGTAAAACCACCAGGCATCTTGGCACCGATCATCTTGGCAACCAAAGTAGAAGAGTGCTTACCGAGAGCACCAGAGAAACCATTGTTCAAGGCAGAACCAAGTTCATCCAAAGGAGTTTCTTCAGACTTTTCAGGAACAGCGTTGGTAAATTCCTTTTGTAAGTCACCAAGGATTTCGTTTTGAAGAGTAGATTTACCACCAACCAAGTCCTTGATAGCCTTGGACATGGGTACTTCATCAAGAGACTTCTTCAACTTTTGAGCAATGACAGCATGAAGAACTTCGGTGGCAGTAATAGGTGCATCACTGACTGCAGCGGCGGGTCCAGCAGCTGGAGCAGGTGCAGCGGCAGCAACGGGAGCAGCAACGGGAGCAGCAGCAGGGGCAGGTGTAGAAGCAGCAGGAGCAGGAGTAGCTTCAGGTTCTTCCTCAACAGCGCTTTCGAATTCGTAATAGATTTCCTTAGAATCCTTAGCAATGCTCAAGTTCTGACGACGGTTACTTAAAGCATTATCGTAAGCTTGGTACTTGAGGTTCAAAGTACGAACAGCCATACCACTAAGAGTGGGAGAAGGACCGACTTCGATAAGACGCTCAACTTGGTAGTTCTTGAATAATTGATCTTGAGTTTCAATCCAACGAACAGGTGAGGCGAATTGGTAAGCCAAGAGTTCAATCAAGAGAATATAACCAAGATGCTGCTGTTGCGCAGGTGTGACATACTTTTCAGGAGACCAGTTTTCAAGCACTTCAGCTAAACGAGGACTGGAGGTCAACTTGTAGACATCTTCAATATAGCTCTTGTCAGTGCTGAAAGGCTTAGCAGTCAAGTTAGGAATGTACTTGGCAGTTAATTGACCAACATCAATATCTGAAGGATCAAACTTCTTGGCCAAGAAGCCACGGAAAGGAGTGACACCACTGAGCAAGAAGGAAGAATGGAAAGGTACGTCAATACCAGGAAGAGGAACAGTAGCATAACCACGTTCGAGAACAATACGACCCTTAGCCAACTTAGCCTTGGTCTTTTCAAAGACACCATCAATAATTTCATCCAAGTGCTTCTTAACGTCTTCAAGAGACATGGTTTCCATCAACTTTTGGATGTCAATATTAGCAGTCTTGATGTAATTCAAGACATTAGTGAGAGCATCAAGGTTTTGAAGAGCACCAGCTGCGACATATTGCCAGTTTTCGACGTTGAAGTTGACAATTTCCAAGACATCGCCACGTTGAGCAATAGCATCAACAACGAAACGAAGAGCAGTGTCGTTAAAGGTCTTGGAAACACGAGAAGGATTGATGGCGGCCATACCATAATTGGAGCGACCTTCTTCATCACGCTTGACTGCAGACTGCATGGTCATACCACGATAGAAGACAATATCAACAAGAGAAGTCAAAGGCAAGACGTCACCAACAGAAGCCAATGCAGCGTATTCACCAAGAGAGTGACCAGCGAAAGCACAGTTGGATTGAATCAACTCCTTGGAGCGCATGTCTTCAAAGGCAGCCTTTTCCATCAATGTCAAGGCAGGTTGAGTGAATTGAGTGGCAAACAAAAGACCAGTAGGAGAGCGGAAGGTATAGAAAGCAGTACGCTCATTGATAGTGGGGAACAATGGCAAGGTCTTGATGGTACCATCAGCCTCGGCAGTATCATAAGTCATGCTCATGTAGTTCTGACGGATCTTCTTACCACGAAGACCACCAAAGTGAACGACCTTTTCCTTGGGGTTGTTACGGACGATCTCAAGGATAGAGAAGCCATAGTTTTCCATAAAGTGCTTATCAGCTTCATCCCAAATCTTTCTGGCAACAGGAGAGCTGTCATAAAGGGCCATACCCATGCCTTGTTCTTGAGAACCTTGACCAGTGAAGACATAGGCAGTAACAGGTTGTTCAACTTCAGCAGTACCTTCAACTACCTTTTCATTGTTTTGATTGAAAGTTTCAACCTTGATGATCTTACGACCGTTCTTCATACCAGTGTGATAAAGCTTGGTCTCGAGTCTGTCAGAGGGTAAGACCATACCAACGAACTTGACATCGTAAGCAACGACACGACGAGGGACGTTATCGGCAGCAAAGATTTCAACAAACTTACGGGTAGAGGCACTAGTCCACATACCATGAGTGATGGTACCAGGTAATTGAGCAAGATCAGCAAAGTAAGGGTTGACATGAATGGGATTGAAATCACCAGAGACGCTAGCATAAGGCTCGTTGGAAGAAGGAGCACGAACGACAGAGGAGTAAGTGGATTGGCTTGGCATAACAGAGTAACCACCATTTTCAAAGAAGTGGGCTTGCTCGATTTCTTGAGCATTGCGCTTCAAGTATTCAATCACAGGGTTACCGTGGCTCTCACCAGATTCGTATTCAACCTTGGCAATTTCAACAAATTCCTTGGTAGATACCTGCATGTCAACAGTACCCCAAGTCTTGACACTAGAGTAAACCTTCTTGTTCTTGTACTTGACTTCAGAGTTCAATCTAAAGATCAAAGAACAGCCAACGGTAACTTCGTGCTTTTCCAATGCATCAGTCCAGTGCATCCATTCCTTGGACTTGAGAACAGCAATGTCCTTGACATCCTTGACCTTGAATTCCATAGGAGTTTCAGACTTACGTTCAAAGGTGTGTTCATAATCATTGAATTGACCACGGTACAAGAACTGGCTAGTGACTTCAAGAACAGGCTTACCATCACGAACAATGGTACCCTTGACTTCAACAATTTTACCAGAGTCAGTGTTGATGATACCGTTGATATAGGCATAAGTATCAACAACATCACCAACCTTGAGGAGCTCAGAGTTATCAAGGAGACGGTAACCATTGGACATATGGACAAGCTTCAAGAGATCACCATCGATGACCTTGGGGAAAATAGCCTTGATAATGGCCTTCCAGCCGACAACGATGGCAAAGTCCATAGGAGCATAAACAACCTTTTGACCACGATCAATAAAGATTTCAGCTTGATTGCCAACAACTTGGCAGAACTCCTTGACTTCAGCAGATTGAACGGATTCACCTGTGCCAATCAACTTTTCAGTGACAGGAACATTCAAGTAATCATCCTTGTGATCAACACCAAACCAGAGCTTATAGTAAAAGTCCTTGATACGCTCGTTGCGACCTTCCATAATTTCATGGATAGGAGCATAGCCAAGTTCAGGTTTGTATTCGAATTGTAAGTTGAATGGAATCAAATCATTGCCTCTCTTTTCATAAAGGTTGAAGTTGATTAACTTGCCAGAGATACTGGCATCAACAGAAGTAATGTAGTCCTTTGTCTTGTCAGTTGCGCTCCAGGGACGTCTGTCTTGAACCTTGACAGCAGTGACATTGCCTTGAGCATCAGTAGAGACAACAACTCTTTGGCCAGCACGAGGACGGAATACACGTTTGACAGGATTATCAATGAATCGCTTGCCTTGAACAATGAAGGAAGAGGTTAAGAGAGCACGAAGCCAGCTGTACTTGGGTCCAGCAATAGCTTGAAGCCATTGAGATTCATCAATGGAGCTGGAGGTGAGCTCATAAACGCGGTCGTTACCAGAGGCGGTCTCTTTGACTTGAGAGTTTTGAATAGCACTACCACCAAGATATTCAATTTGAGGGATAGGAGCATCCTTATAGTAGCGTTCCTTCAAGCTTTGAATATGGCTTTCGTAAATGTCACCAAGAATTTCACCAACGGGTTGATCGACACGAGTGGCATACTTGGCAGCAACGGGACCGTGAAGAATACATGTACGTTGGACATCTTGATCAACAACAGCGGCAAGATCTTCAGATTGCCAGAGAGAGTCCTTCTTGAACCAGATATCAAAGTCCTTGTCCATGACAGGAATGAATGGTACAGGCTTCATGATAGGGTTCTTGCAAAGAGCAATAAAGTGAAGAACGTCTTCAGAGGTCAACAATTGAGTTTCGGCATCAGGGAATTGAGCCATGAACTCTTCAACGAAAGGATAAGGGGAGTTCAATTGAGTATAGTTTTGAAGCATAGAGGGAGCTTCAGTCTTGGTGAAACGCTCTTCAACACGGCGTAAGAAATGACCGACCAAATCACGAAGAGTAACATCGATCCAGCGGCCTTCATGCTTGACATAAAGCAATTGAATCAAACGGTAGACAACTTCAGAGTATGTCATATCTTGAAGATCAACAGCTTCACCAGTCTTCTTCTGACCAAACCAGACCTTTTGGAAATCAGCGTTCAAGCGCTTGATGATGTAGTCCTTCTTGGCCAAAAGAGCGGGAAGACGCTTTTCCTTGGGTAAGGAGAAGATACTTTCGTCAAGTTCCTTCCAGAGACGAACACCGCGTGTAGCAACCTTGTGGATAGGTTCACCGAGCTCGGACAAGACGGTGATGATACCACCAGCAGGACCCTTATAGGTCTTTTCCCAATCAGCATCATCTACACCGGCAGCATCAACCATGGCTTGTTTAGCGGCAGGAGAGGCCAAGCCTTCCTTGGCAACCATCATACGAGAACCAAAGAGGATACCATCGAAAGGCATAGGGGGATAGTCAAACTTAGCTGACCAATCACCAGTGATGTAAGGTAAAGTGTCATCAGCACCACCAAAACCGGAACCAGCAACGAGAACAATGTTGGGTTGACGACGAATAGCGGCATAGGTTTCAAGGATAGGCTGATGAATGTCTTCAAAGCTGTGGTGACCACCAGCACGACCACCAGTCCATTGCATGATGATGGGCATGGTAGGGTTAGCAGCAGCGATGGCAATGACTTGACGAATGGTATCGACACTACCAGGTTTGAAAGCGATATGACGAAGACCAGCGGCTTGAAGGTTGGCGATGATTTCGTTGGCTAATTCAAGAGAAGGAACACCAGCGGCAACACAGAGACCTTCCATAGGCAAACCTTCCTTACGCATCACTTGAATCAAAGGATATTGGAATCCCCATTGACGAACGTTCAAGAAGATGATGTTCAAGGTGATACCTTCACCAGCACGAGTGAGATTCATGATCTTGTGAACCTTATCACGAAGTACGGCTTCATTAAAATGACCACCACCAGCCAATTCAACATGATAACCAGCATTCATGACAGCAGCAACAAACTTTTCGTTGACAGTGGCAGGAGTCATACCAGCAACCATAAGTGGTGGCTTACCCAGCAAGCGAGACATCTTGGTGTCCACATGAATACGTCCATTGCTAGATATAAAGTCAGCTACAATTGATCATCATCGCTATTATTATTATTATGTACCTTGTGGTTTGCACCAACTTGGGTTGGAAGACCTTTGCCCAGTTTTGAGAATAGGTGACAGAACGAATGTCAGAATCAAAGAGATCGGCCTTGTATGACAAATCTCTGTTGGCACCTTCAAGAGCACCGGCCAACACGATTTGTACACCCGTACCTTCCTTATTACGGTAGGTCAAACCGCCAATTCCGGATGTACCACCAGGTCCAAAATCAATAATGTGTGTCAAGTCCTTGGCAGCGATCGCATTTTCCCAATGAACGTGGTGTTCACAAATAAGTGAAAGTAATGATTTGGTGAGATCATCAGATTTACGAAGATCCTCGCCTGTATAAAATCAAAATTAGTAAACTTTCGCACACTTCATCTTGTATAACTTACCAGAATCAGTAGCATAAATAGGGATCTTCAATTCACTAGCATTGAAGCGGAGGTTATGCTTGTCGGCATCCTGTAAAATGATAGGAACAGCAGATTTCAAGTAAACACTATGGAAAGGTGCTGTGATAGGCAAGAAGCGAGAAGAGAACTTGATCTTTCTCTGAGAGTAAGGTACACGAGATTGATCAAGACCGGTAGGAGCCTTGAGCTTACGCAAGGTAAGGTTCAAACCGTACAAGGATTGAGGAGGACCGGTACAGACGAAGGAACGAGGACCGTTATGCAAAGTCACTTCGATTTGACGATCAGGAGCCAAGTGACAATTGGTTTCCTCAACATGCTTGAGAACTTGGTTTTCACGTAAACCGGTGATAGCAAGCATAGGGGTAGGGTTGCCTTCATTGTTGTTGATTGAATCTTCCAAGACGGCAGGGTTTAAGGTGGTAGGAGGGAAAACTTGTTGAGCACGGGTACCAATCCAGAAGAGAAGACCCAATGCCTTTTCAGCATTGCGAACAAATTCTTCCTCGGTGGATGACGCGGAAATAACGGCTGAACTGATGATACCTTGACTGTGACCCGTGGATCCTATGTTTCACAAATTACTACCTATTTTTTAAAAAAAATCAATGGATGGCTTACCAGCAAACAAGTCACGAATCTTGGCGGGAGTCCATTCGAGAACACGAATCATAACAAAGTAATGAAGAATTTGAGTAAGACCGATCAATGGGAAACTGACAGGTGCGGAAACAAAGTATTGAAGATCTGGTCTTGACTCTGGGTTATCTAACCAGCGCATAATATCTAAACCTTTGGAATGAAGTACGCTTGCTTCGGGGCTGCGAGCATATTCACCGAGGACAATGGCCATACGTTCGACGAAAGGCTTGACGAGGCCTTGATAAGTTTCCCAAATATCGGCGAGTTCATCAAAATATTCCTCAATGTTACCTTGACCACCAAAGATGGCAAACAGTTTAGCGTCACCACGAGTAGCAGCTTCAAAGAGAGCAGACTTGGTAGGTGCAGCCTCTTCAGCTGATAAGACATTATATTCCTTGAGTACGACCAGAGCGTTATAGTAGGCTTGGATGACGATTTTCTTAGATTCGGATGATGATAGAGAACGAGAGATTGCATGGACATCGTTGTTTTTAAGATATTGAGCACCGAAGTCCACAAACAATGTCCGTGCGACAGGTAAAAATTGAGGTTCATTAGATGCACGGACTGTAGTGAAATATAAAAACTTGGCAGCGAGTTCGATTTGAGTGATTTCTTCTACATTATCGTTATCGACAGGGAACTCTTCTCTAAGTTGCTCAGCAAGAACCCAAATGTTGGCTGGGACGAGAACGGAAACCTCGGTTGTGTTTTGTTTGATAGATAAAGGACGAAGCACTTGTTGATTATCCATGATTTATATTATATTAAACTATCAAGTGTCAATAGATCACACTACGGAACAAGATCAATAGTATGTATATACCTTTGTTGATATGTGACAGAAGATGTGTATATGATGGTTGTATAATGATGTATATGTAGATTGGTTTATTGTACACAGAATCCTTTCTCTCTCTTCCTTAAGTTTTTCCCCAGATAAGTGAAGCAAGAGAAAAAAAAGGGAAAAGTTTTTTGTTCTGTAGTAATGCTTTTAATCCCCCATCCAAGTTTGAAGGGGACTAAATTTGGGTAGCTGGTAGGGGCAGAGATTGATTCGGAGTGGCACGGAATTGGCTGTATAATTGTATTATAAAACTGCATTTCACCCCAAAAACCAACTCATCATTTGTAACTCACCTGTCAAGGATTAAGACAGTATAGGTTACACCGCTATTTTATCTCTAATCCCCCAAAATTGCATATCCGATTTTTATTGTTGTTTGAAGCTTATTCACCATAGTAACAAATTAAAACGGCGGTTGAAGGTTAAACATAAACAAAAAGAACTATAGTGGGGTCAATGGGATATACGCACGTCTTCTTTTCTCTTCATTGTTATCTTTTTTATTATCATTATATGGCTCAATAAATCGGTTTTGAGGAAATAACGCTTACAATGTATTTGTATACGTGTGTGTGTGTAGATCTGTTATATATGTGTATATATATTAGGGGGTATGTCTAGATCTTTATGGATGTCTATTTATGTGGTTCCTACGTGGCAGTATCATGAAAAGAAAAGTAACAAGCCCCCAATGGTTAAACAATGGGCCATGAAAAAAAGATAAAGAGTTTACTTACGACAACTACTTCTTTTAATTTTTTTGGGGTTCGACCCTTTTATCCAATCAAAGCCAATAAATATCAATGAGCCTAAAAAATGAAAAATCGGCCCATTTTTATGACAAAGTGAAATACAGTAAATATAAATTTCCAACATTATGCCAATACTCGCAAAGAAGCTTATAACGATAGCTCCTCAGACACAGATTTCGAATCACTCTCCGTAGTATGCGATAAACTGGTTGATTTTGCTGACGCCAATTCAGTGATAACATTTGATAAACAATTATCAAAAGCGAAGGAATGCCTGACGTACCTAAATTTCCTTAAAGAAGTATGCCCTACAAGTGTATTAAAAGTATGGTGAAGCCGATATAGCAAAGTTTTTTTAACTTATTAATGAAGAAGGGATAAGTGTTCCCAAGACAGCTAAGATTACGAATATGCCTAGAATCACAACCAACGAAATAAAAAAGCACGGAATCAAAGTGACGGAACTGTATACCACCCAAGTTGCGTTAAAAGGGAATCAAGAGCCAAACAGGATAAATTGGCAGAAAGCACGGAACTAGGTGAAGAGCATACATTATATCCGATTGAAATATACAATTTAACAAAATGAAATCTTTCTTTATTTTCATCTTTTTCAACTGGCAGAAGCAAGCCGTATTCAGTATGCTTCATTAGCTTTTTGACCTTTGAATCAATCCATGCTTTCAATGAATTTATTTCTGTGTTGGCACTATCCATGATTCTACTGATCACGCTGTCATCGTGCTTTTGTTTCATTCTTTGGACTGAAGAGTGTGCTTCCTCCAACTGCTTCTTCAACTGCCAAACAAAATGGTCCATTGCCAGTATATTCTTGGCATCATTCTTGTTGTTTGGTACCTTGAAGACCTTCTTTAAAGCATAATTTTTTTTTTTTTTTTTTGCAAAAATCTCCAAGCTCCACAAATGAACGTGGTTATGCCTGGCATGAACAAAGGGTATCTTTAGGCTAATTGCAGTTGCTTCGGTACTCATATAATATTTTTTGAAGATTGTATTGAATATTGTATTGAATGTCGTAAGTCCCAAAAGCCCCTTTGCTGTGGTCTAGTCTATACTTGGAATTGTCTTTCAATATTTTCCAAAAGTCTCAAGGATATCAATTTCTATTCCACCATCCAAAACTGCACCATCAGCTTTATACTCCTCTTCTGAAGCTTTTAGAATACATTCACCGGGAATAAAAATTAAAGTATCACCGATGCTATCAACCGCGATACCTCACAATGACCATACTAACGTGCGGTTAAAGCTTGTTTCATTGATTGCGGATTGTTTGATTAAATCTGGTTTGTTGTCGAAACCAAGGCTAAGAATATGGTGATTTCCCTTTCATGGTATAGAAAACTCTATTGAAACCCATTTCTGTCACCAGTTCTCCAACCTACAGACGAATGCACTGTTAGAAAGATGTAAAAGGAACAAAAGACAACTTTTTATTGTATTATATTACTGAGAATAAAGCGCGGTTAGAAAGCCTATAACCACATCCAAGGTCGGAGTGGAGGTAACATGGCTGTCGTATTTACCCTATAAATGCTTCATCTTGTCGTATGAGATTACTATAAATCTATATACTAAGAATGAATAATACAAAGATACTGACAACAATACACGTTATTAACATATAGCACGGCATGCCCAATTATCATTGACCATAATTAAATCGGTTACTTAAGAATTCTGTCTTCATATTTCCTGTGAGTAAAAGCTTAGTGCTTTGAAACGAAGAGAGGCTTTGATTATTTTGTTGTATTTTTTTTTAAATAAAAATCTTTGATGCTTTACACTTTAAAAAAATTCTGTCTTCATATAAAACGATGCTGTTTGCAATAATGAGCTCTTCCTCGTCTTAATATACAATAAAGAGATTATATAGAGACTCATCGATTTATACTTCGCGTATCACTTCTTTATATATACGAGACATATCACAATGGCCACTATTGACCACAAAAAAATAAAATTGTCTGAAACAAACTACTGTAATAGCAACTTTATTTACAGGTTTATGCATTATTAATGTGGCTTAAAGAAGGTGTTCCTGGCATAGGTGGGCTACTGAACTTTGTTTCGATAAAGACCTTCATCATGGAATCTTCCTTGGCATCAAAGCGACGATATACTTCAACAATATCATCCAATTTGAAACGATGGGTTAAGATGGCTATAGGATCGAACTCACCCTTTGAGATATGATCCAAGCATGTATCCCAGTAGCCTTGAATTGGTGCTTGACCACAGCCAACTAAGCGAATACCCTTTTCCATAATTGCACCAATCAACACATGGTTAGAATAGGCAGCATAATCAGCAATCAGGGCCACAGTACCAAACTTCTTTGTAGAGCGAATTGCTTCGTTCAACACCTCACTGCTATCTGCTTCTAAGCCCACAGCACGTTCGACCTTGTGCAAGAGGCTCTTTGTGTAGCGGAAACCAGCACAGTCGATAGCACGGTCTAGACCCTTGGGCTCAAGTTCCAAAATTTTAGAGACAACATCTGTCTCCTTATCAAAATTGATCGTTTCTACTCCCCAGCGTTCTTTGGCAATTTGGAGACGAGCTGGTACGTTATCTATTGCAATGATACGCTTGGCTTTGAATACATTACGCAGCCACTGACAGGCATTGAGACCAATTGGACCAAGGCCCCAAACGCCAACCACTTCACCTTCCTTGCAGCCAGCATCATACACTGCGTGATATGAGGTAGGGATAATATCAGATAGATAAATAGCCTGTTCATCTTTTATATTATCAGGCACCTTCAAAACATTTGTATTGCCGAATAAGATACGACAATACTCAGCTTGAGCCCCCGAGAATCCTCCCAAGAAATGAGAATAGCCTAAAACACCAGAGATGCGTTGACCATAAAGCTTTTCCATGACAGAACTGTTGTTGGCGCTTTCACAGCTGGTATAAAGTTTCTGTGCACAGTAATCACATTTGCCACAAGCAATATTGAAGGCAGTAATCACTCGGTCTCCGGGTTTGACTTTAGTCACCTTGGGTCCAATCTTTTCGACAACACCGATACATTCATGACCTAATACCTCTCCCTCTTTCAGCTGCATCAATTCACCATGATAAAGGTGTAAGTCAGATCCACATACTAAAGATAAGAATGTAAGAGCATGTTTAAAGATATCAGTTTTTCATTACCTGTGCTTCCCGTTACTTTAATGATCACATCCTCATCGTCAGTAATTTCTGGCTTGGGAACCTTTCTTAATTCAAGCTTTCGTTTGCCAACCCAACAGCAAGCAAGCATCTCAGTGTCAGACGTTCTTTGTTTATCTTCATTAGCAACCTTGACGGGAACTTCACCCATATTTTTTTGTGCGAGATTTGCTGCAACGTTTGTAGCCATATTGTGTGTGTGTTTTTTTTTTCTTTTTTTCCTCTCCTCATTCCACTTTCTTCGCTCTCTCTTTATAGTAGCTGTATTGAAGAAAGAACTATACGAAATAATGACGAAAGACGCCAAGGAACTTGGTTGATGAAAATAACTATCGAATGAGGATGGATAATAATAAGCGTCTTACGACTTACGAATATATGACGACAAATCAACTTGACTAGTACTGAAAGACAAAGAACGTGTAATAAGCCCTCTTTTTTTGTTGTTGTCATCCTGACGCGCATCCATGTATTTTGTTGACAGTGATTTGATTTAATTAACCATCCTTTCATGACTTCGACTCATACTTTTTTTAAGTGTATAGCAAGTTTGCATCTCATTTACGAAACATGTACCAATGAACCTGATGTAATTTATTGAATTATCTTTGCTGCTTTTGGTATTTCTCATAAAAGGAAAAAAAATATCGAGATATGATCTTGAGTTTATCACCGAGGATATTTTATTCTTAATTCTTTCTCTCTCTTCTTATGTTTATATGCGCGATAGTAATAGCTGGAAAAGAACAAGTACGAAATCCTTCTTACTGGGCCACTTTAGATCCTTTTAAGTTGACGGAGTTTTCTATTGTTATCCCTAAAATGGAAGTTTCTTGGAGAATAAGCTCAAGAGATCTAAAGGACATGTCATGTGTTACTTATGCAGTCATACCTATTTGTGTGTGTATGTAAATAACTATGCAATGAATTAGGAGAACATTGAAGAATAGATGAGAAATCCTTTTTTTTTTTTTTTCATGCTTAAAATTATTGAAACATTTCAAGGATAAACTTTTTTTTTTATAGCAGCTGGGGTTTCTATTTGTTTACCTTTTTTTTTTTCTCTTTCCTTTTTCTTTTTCTGCTATTATTATAGAGAGTGTGTGTGGTCAATGAGGATATATTTACTACTATTATTGCTTTTAGTATCTATACATGATACTATGGCAGATTTACCGAATCCAATATTCTCAGAGTTGGCATTTATTGTAAATACAACAGATATAAGCAGTATGTACAATATTATCTATTCGACAGCTATTTCAGTAAGCTGTCAAGACTTTCAAGCTGTTCGATTGACTTCAAGAGAATATACACCCACTAATGTAAGCATACATTATCGTACATCATGTGTTTCTTATACTTTAATCTAGAGAGTATTGCTCAATTTTGGATATGGTTGTCAAAATACAACAATAAACAATATTCACGAAATGAATTATAATAGTACAAACATTACAGCAATTCAAAACATGGAAACCATCGCTCTAGTCAAAAGAGGTGTTTGTAATTGGAGTGAAAAGATATCAGTTATAAACAGTTTATCAGATACAAACTATCTAAATATTACAGCTGCATTCATCTATGATAATCAAACTTATGACGATGTTGCCATAAAAACTACACTTTATCAAACATCAACCACATTTCCTACTTATCCTACACCACTTCCTATTGAAAGATCTGCACTAAACATGACAGACAATGACTTGACCGAATCCAGAATAGGCGTTTACTTTGTTCCTTACAAGTATGGAAATTCACTTAAATCTAAACTCAACAGTACATATGATGCCACAAACCCAGCCATTCGAACACTTTGGTCCATTACGACCTACTTTCCTCAAGATAACCCTTCAGAAGGGTTTATCGGTACCATCAGGGGTTATTTGGCGTACATCATAGCCCTTGCTGCTATATTCTTGATAGGTATGTTTTTTTTTTTTAAAAAAAAAAAAAAAAAGGAGATAGGCTAAAGTTGCTTTACCAACAAAAAGGTATCGTCTTTTTACGCTGGTGGAGAATACGTCGATTGAGAGATGAAATTCCCAATGACCCAAATGATACCAACGCAATTCATCTATCACAAAGAGTTCATCAACCAGATCCTCTTCCCGTCGATATCGTGAATGCTTTACCTATAAAACTGTACGAACCAGGAGTATCAAAAAATATCAATTGCGCGATATGTTTGGACGATTTTGTCCTGGGAAAAAGTGATGTTCGTATCTTGCCTTGTGGCCATGGATTCTGTGTGTTGTGCATTGGTAAGATGAAAATCAATTTTTTTTGCGTGTGTAATTCACCATTTTGTTTATTGCAGATCCATGGTTAACGCAGAAGTCGACAGTGTGCCCGATCTGCAAATGGGATTGTTTACCAACTGATTTGCGACAGGAAAGAGAGGCTCAGGGAAGTACAAGTCATAGTGATGTTAGTAATTCAAATGCTCAAGCTATCAATATGGAACCACCAGTCCCTGAAGATTCCATGACAACGGTTACACAACCAAATGTGAACCGTGAAATTCATGAGGCCAGTCCCCCTGTGGAAACAGACCAAACAGTAGATAGTCACACTATAGGTACAGCTCTTTCGATATCACCTAGAGAAAATGAAGGTCATGAATCTACTTCTACCAATGAGAAACCAAATGAAACGGATGAGACCAACCCGCCTAACCAGCGCCAGGGCGAAGGCACTTTCTCAAATACTACACAGCCGTAATCAAATCGTGATGTAAATAAGTATGACACTAGGCTGGCTATACTTGTGTTTATGCTTGTATATTATATATAATTTATTTACTTACTACTCATAATATCATTATTGTATAATAAACTATTTGTGTTCTACTTGTCCGTAGACAAAGAACAACAGTAAAGGAATAGTATGTTTTTGCAGATACTAAATTGGGTAACTGTTATTCTCCACAAATACGGTAGATCTATCTATACAGCTTGATATTTGCTTTTCTCTCTTTTTTTTTTTGTCTTTGACAGTAAACAATATATTGCACATGCAACAGGATCTATACCAAGGACAGATACCCCCAGCCGGATATGTGGATACTCCGAATATATACAGGATATGTGGGAAGTTCCATGTTAGCTATTCAGGCCCAGTTGCATGTGTCCTTTGGATTGTAAAATAAATACAAAAATATGGCAAATCCTCCCTCACTGACTATCACAATGTAGGTAATCAATCTATATGCTGCCGTTTTATCGTTTCAAGGCAGGAGTCGTAAGTACGATATAAGAATGTGTGCATACCTGGATCTGACTTGAACTTGGTGATAGCTATCTATTCCTATCTGAATTCGACAGCCTTATTCGTTCAAGGCGTAGTCTGCGTGATATTTGTTCTATCAGCACTTGTCTCGTTGTATATTTTTTCTGTGGTAAGAGGGAAAAAAAAAAAATGCAAAAGGATATCCTGATGATAAACAGTGGGAATCTTTAGGGCATACCAGAAGCATTAAAAATATCACACAGGGTTACATGGACTATTGTGATTGTATTCCTGATAGACTGCTTTGTAAACATGGTAGTATTTGGTGTGCAAAAGAATCAGTTTAATGGATGGTGTATAAATAAGGCTAGAAAAAACGCTGATGAATCATTATCTATTGTTCAAGCAGATGGATCAAACCTGCAAGTATTATATTCACCTACCGTATCGGGCTCAGATCTTTATAATTGCACACGTCTATGGGAAAACGAACTAAAGTTTGGAGTTATCGTATTTGTTATACTATTCGTATTCTATGTAATGATAGATATTATATAGACAAACAAACAACTAACCATGCTTCCTTAGGTTCATATCGCATTCTGCTTTTGGAATTTTACTCAAGAGAAGTTACTGATTAGAGCTGAAATGATGAGGTATCACTTCAGTAATCCTTATGTGAACACTGCAGTTAATCATATGCATATGATGAGTAACATGAAACCTTCCAAAAATAAAACTTCCTTATAATTTTTTTTTTTTCTTTCTCTTCTTTCTTTATGGCTTTACTAATCAATGGGGAAAAGCATGCTTGGTAAGTATTATGAATAAATAATGATTGAATAACTTATACAATCTAGTGCTTCTTGTATAAGAGGACATCGGGTTAAAAAATGCAACCATACAGATAAACAGCTATTTCCTGTTCTTAAAAGAGGCAGACAAATTTCACAGTGCACTCATTGTCGAGATTTAAGGAAAACAAAACAGATCCACATTAAGTGTACTTGTGCAGTCTCTAGCGGTAATGTACATAAAAAAAAAAGTCTGATATTCTATTGCTAACCATGCTTGTTATATAGCACCTAATCCCATTACAGGCTGTCTTTGTGAAGTCATTCTCACATGTAGTTGTGTATCCCAGCATCACCAAGATATTAAAGAAGACCAAGGTGAAGGCAAAAATATGGAAACATCTTCTTCAGACGAACATTCAACAGACTTACGCATCGCTACTCACTGTAGCCAGCATATCAATTCTGAAGTTAGCAACCAACTGTTAATGGATAGTGATTTACTGAACTTTTTAATTAATGACTTGGACAAACATATCAACTAAAGTCACAGGAATAAGAAACAATGGGAAAAATATGCCTAAATATCCTTGAAAGAGCAAAAGATTGCTTTGAGAGATGGCTGCAGAAGTTGTCCTAGTCAAGCCAAAAAAAGAATTTATGCAGAGTATTGAAATGATTTTTTCTTATGGTTGTAAGGCGCCTTGCATAGCCATTTCATGTCACCAGTAGATGTGCACCATCACATCAAAATGTATATGATTCATTGCCGTTGCCAATTCATGAATTTCAAATAACTGATTTCATGGTTTTACTGAATATTAGTGTGCTACATAGGGATACTGTTTAAGCAATTAATAAACAGATTTTATTTTCAATTACTGATGAAGGAATGTGCATATCTTTTGCTTTCTCGGCAACCGTCCAGGCTTCATCTATCAATCTTTATATATATCCGCTTCGAGGTCCTCGCATAATACAAAAGGAATCACTAAACGTTTAGCGTCTTGTAAGTTTAACTGGCTATCCTTGATATGATGCTTCAAGCGCAACCAACTGCACGTCACAGCTCTTATTTTGTCTATATAGTATTTACAGGGTTGTGGCTGCTCCGTAAAATCAACGACTGAAAGATCTTCATTTTTCTTGTAAAATGACGAAATAACTCGTAAATCTAATCTTGAGGGTTGACCAGCTTCTGCACAAACGTTACTTTCTCTAAACACATTTTCTAATATCGGGCTAAACAACTTGACAATATAATCAGCTTCTGTATGGTATTCATCTTTACCGTACAGGTAATCATCAAAGAGCATTGTCTCCAATTTAACATTGAATATGTAAGTAATCAGGAAATTTAAAGCTCAAAAAAATCACCCACACTTGTAAATAAACTCCTCTGACAGTGTTGTCCACTTTGATCTTCAATACAAAATAATGACATGTGATGCTTCCGAGTTGTCAGATATATCAATTATACAATTCATTCCCAATCTAAAAATGAATTTAAATATTAGACATGATATCAGATAAATAAGCTTATGGAGCGTATCACTTGCATGCGAAAGTATAAAGATTTGCTCTTTGTTGAGATGAAACATGTAGCGGATCTAACAATACTTCCTTCATTCCGGAAGTATAATTTCCCTGTCTAAAAAACTCTAGTAGGCTATTTGTTGTATTTGATTTTGTAATAAGATCAGACAAAGTAAAAGTACGATAAGACTGCGTGTATCTTTATTCGGAATAAAGTGAAGAGAAAAAAGAGATAATGGCATAATCAATATATATAAACTGCGTTGATCACATTCGATTTAGGTGTAACAGATCTTATGGTAGCATTAGTTTCAACTCTAGATATTATACTTAAGCACTGAATACTAACGTGGATATTACACCATTATTTGCCTCATAGCTTTCATGCAGCCAAGAATCAGTATTCCTAAAATGACACTTTAAGATGTGTTTAGAAACCCAATTAACAAAACCTCTATTCCTTTAGCAAAGGGGCGATCTATTAATGTTGCGAGTTTTTATAACGGCAGAATATACAAGGAATAAGCCCGTTGTAAACAGTTGGTGAATTCTTGGTAAAATAGAAGTACTTTTCTTACTGTATTCATTTAATAGTGCAATATACATGCCTTTTACCTTACATATCAACTCTTATAAGATTATCCTTCAAAGCATTAAGGTACCTATTTCGTAAATGCAAGAGGTTGTTGATACTTTTCCAGAGACATATGTCGTCAAGTGGAACGCTGAAAACTCTATAAGCCTAAGAACCAAGGAGAAGATCAGAAAGCAACTAACTTGAATGCCAATGGCAACCCAATTAAGAAAAGCCCAAGCATGGTCTAGGAGTAAAATCGGGTCAAATAAGAGAAGCGTAGAAGACATCCAAAAAGATAGACTGTTCTGCTAACATGAAAGCTACTTGATAAAGTCGAAACCAGAAGAATTGGGTTTTACATTTATTAATGATCACAACCATGGTCCTATTGGCAGCAGGGAAGACTTCCAACACTAGCCTGTTTTAGAGGGAACAAAAAGATGCATCTATCAGAAACTTCAAGAAGGATTTATGTGTCGAGATGTACGCTTGTCCATTCAACGTGAATTAATGAAATATGTTCAAGATCATTCCGTATCATTATTGATCATCAATCGAACGTTTCATCAATATGTGAGATTATTCACCGTAATCAACTGATGGATCCTGAACTAGTTTACAACCAGTACAAGCTGTTATGTAATGGTTTAGAGGCACAAGGCAAAGGCAAAACAAGTGCTCTTTGAGACTGATTTTTATTCTGAGATAAAGACAGAAGGAACATACAATTAAATAAAGGATCTACTATTTATAATTGCTATCAAATGGCTGGTAGCCACTATTCTAAGCGTGGATTATAATTACTGAGGATGTGATTGACTAACGGTTCCTGGGTTCATAAAGAAAACTTTTAATTCATTCCTGACACTGGTCTTTTTGTTCATTTCATATCTGGGTTATGTTACTGCTTTTACCGTGAGAAGGATAATCTTTTAAAGAAGTGTATCCTTTTATATAAAGAAGCAATGAATCATATTCAAAGGAGAGATTCTATTTAATTTCACTTATCACTAAAAGTGTGTACACGTAATCTTATAATGTATGAGTTCACTCTACTCATACTGATTACAATTGTTTATCTTAATGTCAGTCCTAAGCAGACATTGTTCTACGACGCAAGCGTATACAAGAGAACGCATATTAGCGTCATAATGACCGACATGAGTCCATCAAAATTTGAATCAACGAGCTTAAATCTAAGGGCTATAGTGCCTACATTGGTGTTAGTTTCAACAACAGCTACGCCTTTGGATTTACGTCCCCATGGCAGAAGAATCTCTTAAATTTGTCTTACTTCTGCCTAGATACTACCCACAAGACAACAAATGTTGATCGTTGCCTTTTATATACCAATGTTGTTAGGCATTCATTTACAGGTACAGGCTGTCCAGCTGCTTTTTGTTCTACGAAGAATCATTCTGCAAGACCCATTATTAAATTTCTATCTTTTGTAAAAAGCCAAGGTCATGTAGATGCCCAAGAAATAACAATGGATGTCTCTAGCGTTGAGCTAAATGCTATTCAAACCGTGTATCCAGAAGCTTAAATACAATAGTGTCTCTTTCATGTCGCTCGTGCCTGGATGGCAAAAGTCAAAGAGCATATCTAGACAGACAATATTCATCAAAATTTCACTGAACGCAGAAAAGCTATCACAAGATTAAAGCTGTTAATGTGGGAAAGAAATGCAGCAAAGTTTAACAGAAAGCAGCAATCGTTTCTTCTTGGCTTTGGATCATATACATAGCTGATTTCTTATCTTTGTATTTCATAATTCAACAATGATAACTTCAAGCTTTCTGTAAGAGCAGAACAGACGAGTAAACAAAGTAACTCACATGCAGAAATCACGTGAGAAAAATGATGACGTATACATACAAATCACATGATAGTCACGTGAACAATTATTCATAATAAAAAGTTTTGAGTCGTTGCACTTTCATAGCGAAACCGGCCTTAGCTCAGTTGGTAGAGCGGAAGACTGTAGTGAATGCTGTCATCTTTAGGTCACTAGTTCGAATCTGGTAGGCCGGATAACCTCTTCGGAGATTGATTTTGCGATTTTTTTCCCGGATAAATAATTATCCAGAAGCGTTTCTCTGCTGATACCCTTTTTGGTATCTTATACTGTAACGCAAAAGATGCCGATAAGGGTAACTCTGTGGAACTGAATCCTGACAACTTTAGTTAATTTAACAATTAAGGTTAACTTATCAACAACCGTTGATTTCAAGAAAAGGAAAGCCAACAAAAATCCAAAAAAAAAATTATATTGTGACGATAATGACAATGAAGATGTGGTGTCACCCACCCACTTCTAAAGTCAGTCACTAGTGACACTGTGT